CTGCGAAATCTTGAGAAATTCTGAGGAATCTTAAAAAAATCCCGAGAAAACTTGAGAAATCTTGGAATCTTGAAATTTTGAAATCTGGAAATCTCGAAACTTCGAAAAACCTCGAGAAACCGCAACAAATATCGCGGAATTGAGAAATCTTGAGAAATATTGAGCAATTTTGAGAAATGTTGAGGATATCTCAGAGAAATCTCCGAAAATTTTTGAAAAATATTGAGAAATCTTGAGAAATCGTGAGCAACCTTAAGTTATCTTGAGACATTTTGAGAAATCGTAAAAGATTTTCAAAAATATAGTAGTCTCGAACCGGTATACGTAGTAAAAATTTTCATTTTTCAAAACGTTGCCTAAAAATTCTCAAAAAATTCAGAAATGTAGATCTCAATCAAGATCCTGAGAAATCCTGTGAAGTGTCGAGAAATTTCGAGAATGTCTGGAAGAAATCTTGAGAAATTTCGAAATCTCAAAACCTCAAAACCTGGAAACGTCTAGAAGTGTTGAGAAATCCTGGGAAATCGTAAAAATCCCTAGAAAACTTGAGAAATCTTAGAATCTTGAAATTTTGAAATCTAGAAATCTCGGAATTTCGAAATCTCGAAACTTTGAAAAACCTCGAAAAACCGCGACAAATCTCGCGGAATTGAGAAATCTTGAGAAATAATGAGCAATTTTGAGAAATGTTGATATCTCAGAGAAATCTTCGAAAAAATTTGAGAAATATTGAGAAATCTTGAGAAATCATGAGCAACCTTGAGTTATATTGAGAAATTTTGAGAAATCGTAAAAAATTTTCAAAAATATAGTAATCTCGAACCGGTATACGTTGTTGAAATTTTCATTTTTCAAAAAGTCGCGTAAAAATTCTCAAAAAATTCAGAGATGTAGATCTCAATCAAAATCCTGAGAAATCCTGAGAAGTATCGAGAAACTTCGAGAATGTCTGGAAGAAATCTTGAGAAATTTCGAAATCTCAAAACCACAAAACCTGTAAACGTCTAGAAATGTTGAGAAATCCTGCGAAATCTTGAGAAATTCTGGGGAATCTTAAAAAAATCCCAAGAAAACTTGAGAAATCTTGGAATCTTGAAATTTAGAAATCTGGAAATCTCGAAACTTCGAAAAACCTCGAGAAACCGCAACAAATATCGCGGAATTGAGAAATCTTGAGAAATATTGAGCAATTTTGAGAAATGTTGAGGATATCTCAGAGAAATCTCCGAAAAATTTTGAAAAATATTGAGAAATCTTGAGAAATCGTGAGCAACCTTAAGTTATCTTGAGAAATTTTGAGAAATCGTAAAAGATTTTCAAAATTATAGTAGTCTCGAACCGGTATACGTAGTAAAAATTTTCATTTTTCAAAACGTTGCCTAAAAATTCTCAAAAAATTCAGAAATGTAGATCTCAATCAAAATCCTGAGAAATCCTGTGAAGTGTCGAGAAACTTCGAGAATGTCTGAAGAAATCTTGAGAAATTTCGAAATCTCAAAACCTCAAAACCTGGAAACGTCTAGAAATGTTGAGAAATCCTGAGAATTCTTGAGAAATTCTAGGAAATCTTAAAAAAAAATCCCGATAAAACTTGAGAAATCTTGGGATCTTGAAATTTTGAAATCTGGAAATATCGAAACTTCGAAATCTCGAAACTTAGGAAAATCTCGAGAAATTTTGAAAAACCTCCAGAAACTGCGACAAATGTAAAGTTGAGAAATCATGAGAAATATTGAGCAATTTTGAGAAATCTTAAGGATATCTCGGAGAAATCTCAGAGAAATCTTGAGAAATCATGAGCAACCTTGAGTTATCTTCAGAAATTTTGTGAAATCGTAGTAGTAAAAATTGTCATTTTTCAAAAAGTCGCCTAAAAATTCTCAAAAAATTCAGAGATGTAGATCTCAATCAAAAATATAGAGTGTTTATGGTCACCTACAAATATTTTCGAAATATTCGGTGTGAAATTCGAGTTTTTTTTAATTTCAAAAATGTCGACATTTCAATGGGCAACTCTGGAAAAACGGTTGAATTTATCGAAGAAATGACAGGAAGTAACCTCTGTGTTCCGAAATCTATAAGAAAATGTTTTCAGTTAAATTCCGAAAATGGAACGAAATTTGCAACGCAACCATATCTTTGTACATTCTAACTGAAATGGTAATTAAACATGGTCATGGGCGACAGAAATATTAACTAAAAAATAATATTAAATATTAACTTAAACTAAGCTGAAAACAGTGGTGAAAACCGTGTTCAGAAATATCCATAAATAATAATTGATATATTGAATTTTAAAAATTCATGATGAAAAATTTCAGCAAAACCTACAAAAAAATTGGTGATGGTAAACTGTTCTTAAAAAAACTGCGGCTTTGTTATATTGAGTAAGTTGTAAACAATCTATATTTAAAATTTGATATTAGTAAGCCTGTTAATAACGGAGATATATTATTCTGAAAATGTAATTTGGGGTGTCTATTTTTAAAATATGACTCTAATATCAACTAAATCGTCAAAATGCTTTTAAAATTTTTACCAGAGTACAAAATGAATTTGGCAAAAAGAATCTGCAAGATTTTTGATTTTCTATTTTCGAGTTTATCTGTATATAAAGATGACTGTTAGTATTTTGAAACAATGGAACTGAAAAGAATAACAAATTTTTTTAAATAGAACTGTCAGATTATACAGGGTGATCAGAAAATTACGAATAAAATTACGATGGCACGTAGTTAAGAAGACTCTGAAGAACTCGAAAAAATTGGTGAAAAGAATTCATAACCAAATTTTTTACAATATTTAAGCTTCACAGTTGAAGAATTAACTTCGCAATTCTGATATGTTTTAATGTGACTTTAGTTGACAGTATTATTAAATTATTCATAACTAATTATTTAACTGTCTATTAGACATTCAGTTCATTAAAATAAATAAGAATTACGAAGATAATTCTACAACTTTGAAGATTAATTTTTCGAATTCTTCAGAGCTTCTTAACAACATATCATGAAGCTTATCCGTCATTTTCTGACCACCCTGCATAGCATTTTTTTGTAGAATGGAGTTTTCGAATTTCTTTTCAACAACCCATAAAATTTCGTTGTCATGCAAATTAAATATTGTTAGACAAAAATTAGTAATGTTGATATAGGAAAACTGGATAAAAGTAATAGGTAGAATTTTTTTAATTTCTGTCCTAGTTGGCCATGACGTTTATGTCAACCGTTTCAATTACACTGCTGACGTACGCGTCATAGCCAACTAGAGGATAATTTTAGTATTCGAAAATAATTCTATGAGCTTACTATAGAATTACATATTACACTACTTTAGTGCACACTTTAAAATCACAATGTCAAAATTATTTCAAATCACTTCGTGAAGGTAATATTAGAACACAATTTTGCATTATTAACGAGATGGTAATTTGAATAACTAAGTTAAAGTGTAAAGAGTGTAATTTATCACATACATTTTTCAATTAAACTTAAATTCAGGGACACCTGTTATAATCTTGATTAAAAAAACGCCAAATTTTGGATCTATTTATCAAATCTTTGCTATATTGCCACTGTTATTAAAATGCTCTTTTAAAAATGTTAGACCCGGTTTATAACAGCTATATTAACTTAATCACACGCTTGTTAGATCAAGTGATCAACAAATTCTGATGATGATGTCATTAAATAGTTGATAAAAAATTAACCTTTATTTACCTTATATCTATAAGTGGGCTCTTAAGTATGCAAAATGGGTTATTCTCTGAAAAGTCAATGTTACTCGGTTAGTGAAAAACGATCTACAAAGAAAATATTTTTTGACATATTTGACAATAAATTTTTGAGTTGAACTGCATCTACAATAATACTACTTAATTCGTATTTTTGTCATATTATCTATTATTTAAGAAAATATTAAGTAACTTGCAAAAATTTATTTTTGTATTCATATGCTCGTTTATAACTTGTTTATCAGTATTGTTATTAATAAGAACCGGATTTAAAATTTTACCACACGTGGGTAGATAATCATATTATATAAGTAGTTTCCCTCACTATAACTTGTCGCTAAAAGTCAGTGTATTTTACATAAATTTATCTATTTTAAAAAGTTATCATGTATTTAAGCCTCAATTGAGTTCAGTAGGATGTAAATGTTTTAAAATTATAGGCTTCTTATAATTTAAAATTACAGTCGGGCTACCTACTCAGAGGAAAAAAAACAGACTGTAATCAGTTCTGCATCTCATTAACTTTATGGGACAGATTATTATTAACTTGATTGAAATCTTCTTCTACATATATTCTCTTTTCATCATATTATCTTCTGACAATTTATAGAATTTTTGTTTTTCGTTCATATCAATACTATAGAGACAATATATCAAACGAAAATACTTAGAACTTAGCTTGAAAATTCAAAATCCCAGAAGCATATAGATCAGTATGTTAATGACAGTAGTACAGTTTTTCGTACAGTGTGATAAAATTTCTGTTACTGTCTCATTTAAATCTAGAAAAAAATAAAAAATTTTAAAGTATTTTCTAAACGAAAGCTAGGAGTATAAATATTTAAACGACACGTAACCCATTTTTAGAAGGGACGAACAAGAAAATTTTGATTAACTTAACTGACCTTGAAATTCAGTTAAAAAATTTACAAAAATGTGAAGTTGTATAAGCGTCATGAAAGAATTTCTTGCTTCTAAAATTACTAACCTGAGAGATAACAATTTAAAACACTAAAATGTGATGTAATGTTACATCTTTATTTCATCTTTTTTAAGTTTCCAGGCAACGATTTGACTCTTCTTATCACTGTTTGTTTGAATTAATAACCGACCAAATTATTTCCGCTTATCTTTAAGTGGAGCTGTAATATTTTCTTCCACGTACAAAACTATGCGAAAACACTCAACTTTTATCACGCGATTCATTCAATATTTCGAAAACACATCACACCCACAATCTCTCAAGTACGTTATCCTGTCGTCCTACCTGTGCGGCCATAATCCTCTGCCTCTCCTTAATCAACCCGCATTTCGCACACGAACAATTTTTATAAATACACTGTTTCTTGTGTCCTCGCAACGTCGAAATCATCCCATGATTCCTGCATCTGGCACATTTAGGAACACGAGCTGACCGATTATTCGCCAACATTTCCCCAAACTAGTCAAATTTAAACATTGGTAACTGCAACACCGCCGGATAACAATCTCGATGTAAAAGAATACAAGAATACATAGATACGAGCTGAAGATTTCAGTCATGCCAAAGATACAGCACCATGATACAGCCAATAGGATAAAGCTTTATCCTGCCGAAGTCTACATAGGATGCTGAAAGCACCAATCGCCGCTGAAAGCTACGCCCTATCGACAAGAAAAGCAAAAACTCCCGGCTGAAACATGATTTTCATGAGTTCAGGTGGAGCTTTCGGTGGCTATTTAAGTCGCATTACGCCGATTTTGAAAAAGTGCGGATTCATCATGGGTGATTTATTTGACATGTTTTTGAAGAGTTTACATTGCTTGTAACACTAATTGACTGTGTAACTCACAAATAAATCAGTCTAATTTCAGAAATCCTTCTGTTACTTAGCGCAGCGCGACTACTATAAGTTGCGAAAGGAAAATCCCAATTAGCGACGTGATTGACGTGCGACTTTCACGTGCCGCTCCACACTTGTTAAATATCCTGAAATTTTTCTCAATAAAATAACAGACGGTTTTTCGTGAAACGTGTCCAAGAAGCTGTGTTTTCGTAGCGTCGCTGTAGCTCGAAAGCAGTCTCGGTGTGCGATGTGTGACGTATTACTGTCAGTTTGTTAAATAAACACAAGTCCATTAGATTGTTGCATCACATATGTCACTCCGACCACCCAGTATACACCTGAAAAAAATATCTTCCGCAAAAAAATTTTTGTACATTCGATCCACCCACTGTTTGTTTCTGTTGTAACACAAACTTAGACCACCTAGAACTTATCTCGGGTCTCTTTTCCATATTTCACGACAAACCAGTAGAGTCTCAATGTGAAGAAGTAAATGATTTCGATGAAACTGAGGACGCTGCAGCCCAGAAATAGACCGGCCATGCCGCCAATGTAGACTAGAATTTTATTTGAGTGTCACGGTTTTTCGAGAAAGTACGTACCTAAGAGGTCTGAAAAACCGAAAATAATGTCGCGTCGCAAGCGCATTTTGGGGTACTCTTTGAGGCCCCATTGGAGGTTAGAGCCGAGAAACCAAGCTCGAGTGTCCATGTCTTCTACGATGTAGTTGACTTCGTTGCAGTTGGGTAGGCAAAAGCAGTCGCCTTTTAGAAGGATTAGTTTTTCTTTGTGTTTCGCAAGACAATGGAGGCCGGGGACGTTGCAGATTTTGTCGCCTTCTGAAAATATTTCTTTGTTATTTATTGTAACAAGATTTAAGGTAAGTTGAAGTTTAGGTTAAATAAATTATAACATTATGTTTGAATAAGACTTAAAAAATTGATGTTTCGAGGTTTTTTAGATCTAAAAGTAGAAAAACTATACAAATTTTCAACGGTTTATTGTCATCTTCTATTCAGCGTTGTGATGAAATTTCGTAACTCAATTTTCACCACTGTTTTCAGCTTACAGAACTTTACACGTTACCCGGGAAACATTGTCGATTTTTCGATTTTTTTTTTTTGTCAGAAATGACATTCACTACAATAAGCTTGTGTCCAAGAAGTTGTTTTTGTTATATCTGATTTCTCCACGTAACGAATAGAGCTTTATAAGCTAAAAACAGTGGTGAAAACCGCGTTCCCAAATATCCATAAATAATTGAGATATTGAATTTTAAAAATTCGTGATCAAAAATTTCATCTAAATCTAAAAAAAAATAATGACAATAAAGTGTTTTTAAAAAAACTGCTGCGGTGTTATATTGAGTAAGTTGTACACAATTTAAAATTTCATAATAAGAAGTTTATTAATAACGGAGATATCACATTATTCTGAAAATGTGGAGTGTTTATTGTTAAAATTTTCCAAAAAATGACAGTTGATGAAAAAATAATTAGTCTGATCTCAACTAAACCATCAAAATGGTTTTAAATCTTTTACCTGAGTACAAAATGAATTTGGCAAAAACAATCTACAAGATTTATTTTATTTTCTATTTTTAAGTTTATCTGTAAATAAAGATGATTGTTATTACTTTGAAGAACTCAAAAAAGATGTTTAAAAAAATTCGTGAAAATCTGAAAATATTATTGAGTGTCAAAGCTTCATATTCTGATATGTTTAAATATGAATTTAGCTGACAATGATGTTGTGGATCGTATTCTAGCAAATTATTATTAAATTATTAAAACTAATTATTTATTAGACATCTAGTTCACTAAAACAAATATGAATTACGAAGTTAATTCTTCAAAATTGAAGTTTAATATTTTCAAAGGTTTTGTGCAGGGATTTTTTAATCTTTTTTTTCGAGTTCTTCAGAGCTTTCGTAACAACGTACCATCGAGTTTTTTGACTAGCCTGTATAACATTTTTTACAGATGGAGCTTTCGAATTTCGTTTCAACAATCCTTGAAATTTTGTTGTCACGTAAATTAAATGTTGTTGGACAAAAATTAATCACGTTGAATGGTTCCATTGTATGAAAAAAACTTGGACTACCGTTAGTTAAACAGAATTTTCCTGGCCTCTGAAGTAGTCTGATAAAACCAGCTTCCAAAATATGCCTCATGTGTTATAATTAATTTTTGACAAGACATATTTTTGTAGAATATTATTTCTTCCAACACAAATTTATTTATGGATAATATTAAATTTGAAGTTTAAGATAGTCCAATACTAAAATCTGTTAGGTTTACTATTATTATAAAATCAAAACTCAATTTTTCAAGAAACTAAAAAATTTAAAAGTCTAAAAAACGAAAAATTAAAATATCCAAAAATTGGAACATCTAAAACTTTAAAAAACCGAAAAATTGATAAATTGAACAAGTAAAAAACCAAAAAATCGAAACGAAAACTTGAAAAATTGAAGAATTGAAATATTAAAATATTTCAAAACTGAAACATCGAAAATCTAGAAAGAGAGAAGTCGAAAAATCAAAAATTTAAAAAATTGAAAAATCGAAGACCTGAAAAATCAAAAAATTAAAGAATTGTCAAAACTGAAAAATAGAGAAATCGAGAAGTCGAAAAATCCAGAATTCGAAAAGTTGAAAAATCGAAAAGTCGATTAAACGAAAAATTTAGAAATGCCAAAAATTGAAAAACAAAAAATTCGAAGAATTGAAAAATCGGGAAATCGAAAAATCGTAAAACCGAAAATTAAAAAAATTCTAAAATCAAAGACCTGAAGAATACAAAAATTGAAGAATTGCAAAACTGAGAAATAGAGAAATCGAAAAGTCGAAAAATTGCGAAATCGGATAGCTGAAAAATCGAAAAATCGATTCATCGAAAAACAGAAAATTTAGAGATGCCAAAAATTGAATAATAGAAAAATTCAAGAATTAAAAGATCGAAAAATGGAGAAATGGGAAAAATAAATTCGAAAAATCTTAAAAGTCGAAAAATCGAGAAATTAAAACATGGAAAATTTAAAAAATCGAAAAACTAATAAATTGAAACGAAAACTTGAAAAATTGAAGAATCGAAATATTGAAAAATCCCAAAACTGAAATATCAAAAAATTGTAAAATTTAGAAATCGGTTAAGTCGAAAAATCGTCGAGTCGAAAAATCGAAAAACCCAAAAAATTTAAAAATTGTAAAATCAAAGACCTGAAGAATAAAAAAAATTGAAGAATTACAAAAACTGAGAAATAGAGAAATCGAAAAGTCGAAAAATTGAGAAATCGGCTAGCTGAAAAATCGAAAAATCGATTAATCGAAAAATAGAATATTTAGAGATGCCAAAAATTGAAAAATTGAAAAATCAAAGAATCAAAAGATCGAAAAATGGAGAAATGGGAAAAGTAAAATCGAAAAATCTTAAAAGTCGAAGAATCGAGAAATTAAATCTTGGAGAATTTAAAAAATCGAAAAACTGATAAATTGAAACGAAAACTTGAAAAATTGAACAATTAAAAACTGAAAAATCGAAAAATTTAAAGTCGAAAAATCGAGAAATTAAAACATGGAAAATTTAAAAAATCGAAAAACTGATAAATCGAAACGCAAACTTAAAAATTGAAGAATCCAAATATTGAAAAATCCTAAAACTGAAATATCAAAGAAATGGAAAATTTAGAAATCGGTAAGTCGAAAAATCGTAAAGTCGAAAAATCGAAAAACCGAAAATTTAAAAAATTGTAAAATCAAAGACCTGAAGAATAAAAAAAATGAAGAATTGCAAAAACTGAGAAATAGAGAAATCGAAAAGTGGAAAAATTGAGAAATCGGCTAGCTGAAAAATCAAAAAATCGATTAATCGAAAAATCGAAAATTTAGAAATGCCAAAAATTGAAAAATAGAAAAATCGGAGAATTGAAAGATCGAAAAATGGAAAAATGGGACAAATAAAATCGAAAAATCTTAAAAGTCGAAAATCGAGAAATTGAAATTATAAAATTTGATTTTGCGAAATTTTATTTATTTTTTAGTAAACTCTGTAGAATGAGAGATCTAGATAACACCAGTTACAGTGTAAAAAACAAAATGTGACCTTCTCATTATCTCCTATCTCCTCCTATATTGTCGTAATTTTTTTTGTGAAAATTTGTACGTCAATGGTAAACAATCAAGGCGGATTCATAAACCATAAATGTAGAAGTATGATATTTTATAAAATTGGAACAGCATTTATCATGCAAATACTATATGTATAAAATTCGACAACAATCGATCCGATATTTTCGAAGATTATCCGCGTAATAAATATCGTCATAGACGACAGACAGACGACAGATGACAGGCAGACTGAAACGGGAGATCTATTTTTCAAATTGTAGGGGACATGAAACGTCGAGAAAACAGGAAAGTCGCCGGATGGACTTTGTCAGCCATTTTAGTAGTAATTTCCTGTAAGATTAATATTTTTTATTTCTGATTGTAAGCTAGGAGAAGTAGTACATTTCATAGCTCGTAGAACATGAAAAATAAGGGAATCCGTTTCCCTCTGTCTGTCGTCTGTCGCCTCTTGCTAATTTTCATTATTTTTAAAATATCTTGTTGATGACAAAACATTAACAAAAATTTGTCCAAAAATGGGCAAAATAGTAGGCTTCTACGCCTATGGGTTATTAATCTACTCCTATTAAAAAACTTATGCACATAAATTTTTCGAAAAAAATCTAAATTACGCAAAAAAAATTAAACCGACGTCATATCAAAATTGTATTTAGTTAGTATATTTTTATGAAACTGAAGTCTTATAACTGTACATCACTGTATAATGTCCCAAAACAAATTTTGTTTTGAAAATTCCCTACACAGGTAGTATAGTTTTGGAGTAATTTTTCAGATCATTTGATATAAACCATCCTCTACAAGTGAATACATGTTGTATAAAAAGTTGTTAGAAAATGTATAGATTGCACCGGATGCGAGATAATTCAGTTTTTAATCTCGTCTACAAATTTTTTGTACACTTCATATTTTCAATTTACATAACAAGATAATGGAACTATAATAGTAACTTCGGTTATAAGTGGGTCAAAATTATTAATATTACCCAGCAAGCGTGAAGTTCGCACACTACAAAATATGTAATCATACAAGTATGATAATAACACATTAGCCCACATTTAACACGCAAAAGTTTATCTATGACTTAAAAATTTGTTAATAACAAAAGTGTATTTTGTCGTGTCGTTTTAAGATAAAAATCATATCAACCAAAATCATATAAGTACCTTTTTTTCTATAAAAATGTGGAACACAGCCACACAAGCGTTTCGCGAGTGCGGCCCTGCATTCCATCCTACACAACACATAAGAGTATGCAGGAGAGTGCTTCAAATCGCTCTCATCGTGAAATCTGCACTTCCTCTGCTTCATACTCAAAGCTCTGATGTTATCACTGCTAAAAATAGTCAAACCTGATAAGGACATCTGGAGAAAGTTACCATTCGGCGAATTAATTTTTTTACTCGCGATATCGGCAACTTCATACGGACCATGAATATAAATCTAAAAGTGACAGAATACTTCATGAATATTGCACTTGCAAGACAAATAAAAACACGTACATCAAAACCCGTGGACATGTTCATGACATTGGCAAAAACTTCACCATCTAGAGGATTTACGTAGAAGGTTTCGTTACCTTCAACTAAATCCCATCTGTCTTCATCCCAGTAGCTAAAAATTTAATAATGAATAAATCAACAACTTTTTTACTTGATCGCATTCATACTCACTCAGGAGAGTTATAAATAGCCAACTTTGAGTTAAAACTATAACAAATCCCCATTTCAGAAACAATTTTTTCGAGGGTGTACAGTTTGTCGTTCCCACCCGAATTCGACACCGCTGGTTTAAACTCAAACTGAAGATCCAACAAAATATCCAAATAATTCTCCTCAGTAATCCCGTTGTACTCAACCACGGTTTCAAAATTCGTGTATGTGGCTTCAGACAACGTCACTAGAAACTCCCTCAACAGACTCTTGTTCTTTTCCGTCGAACTATCAACGTACAAATCCAACAAATCCTCATTTATTTTATAACTGGGACAAATCGTAGCCGCCGGGAACGACGTATTCCACGAAAACCTATCCCTTTCCATCGAAATAACAGTCGGGTTCTCGGTGTACCTTTTCAAGGTCGTACTACTGAGTACCACGGCTCCATACACAGCAGCTCCTACCAGAACCACCCAAATTACCATCTCCACGATGTGGCGCTTCTTAGCCGCTAGGTGCGGAAACCCATGAATGGAGCTCAAGCTGAAGGAAATTTTTATGAACTCCAGCAGCATTTTGCTGCGGGTTTGACGAACAGCCATGGCTGGAATGACCCAGATGGGTTAAATTCGATAGAGGGTAGTAAATGCATGAATATTTTATTGGCGGAACAAAGCAGTGCGATACAGTGATAGCATTGTGTCTGTTGTAACAAAAGTTTGTGAATTTGTTACAGCTGGTATGTGGGTGGGCTCTTCGCTACCAACATGTGTGTCAGTAATAAGACCTACTAATGGATCTTTGTTTATTTAAAGGCGCTTTCACGACGCATTATCCGGATCATGGATAGATGCCACTTTTCTCAAGGAGATTGCGCTAATTATGTGGCTGAACTTTTTTATTTTTGAAGATGAAGGTGTGGAGGTTGGTGAGGGGGAGCTCGAAGAAGAGAGTGAAGAGGAAGCTGGCAAAGACTGTCACCAGCAGGTCGGCGCAGCCGTCATAAATCTGAAAAGTTTTCAAAATTAATATTACAGTATTGCAGAAAAATAAAAACAAAATTAGTCGGTGAAGGTTTTTACGAGCTAACCCCTTCCGTCTGTCTGTCTGTCTGTCTGTCTGTATCCATTTTTATTAGACACGTAATCTCCGAAACTGCTGGACCGATTGTTGCCAGATTTTTCTTTTTTTTTTTTCTTGCACTGGTAATGCGCTGTGACAAATTTTTTATTGGTCAATTTAAAAACGTGTCAGCTACCCCATTTTCTCGAGAATGTGAGAAAACGCACATCTTTATATCATAATGATAAAATAAGAATTATAATGTTCATAACATTTTGTTCGATTGTGGTTTAATTAATAGTTTTATTCCTGTGTTTTGAGAAGACAAACTCATTCAAATCAATAGAGAAATATGTATTTTGCAATTACGCTCCGCCCCTTGGTCTAACAACGAATGAAAAATTCATCACAATTGAGATCGGGGCGGGTGGGTGGGGCTTAATCTTTGTTGTTTTTTTAATATATAGAATTTTCTTTCAACAACAGGATAGTTAAACATGTTTTCAGTCTCTTGTGAAAAAAGAAGACTTTGTACATTAAGAAAAAATGGGCAAAATATAAGCCCCGCCCACCCACCCATTCTCAATTGTGATGAATATTTTTATTCATCGTGAGCTGAAGGGCGGAGTTTAGCTGCAAAATCCTCATTTCTGTACAAGAAATTACCACATAAAATATGTTTTTAAAAGGGTAGAATTTTTTAGAAAAATATGGATGTTACAAATAAGCTCCGCCCTTCGGTCTGATTAGGAATGAAAAATTCATCACAATTGAGATCGGGGCGGGTGGGTAGGACTTAATTTTTGTTTTTTTTTTTTAATATATACAATTTTTTCAACAACAGGATAGTTGAACATATTGTCAGTTTCTTGGTAGGGAAAGAAGATTTCGTATATTAAGAAAAAATGGGACAAAATATAAGCCCCGCCCACCCACCCCTTCTCGATTGTGGTGAATATTATATTCATCGTGACCTGAAGGGCGTAGTTTAGTTGCAAAATCCTCATTTCTTTCCAAGAAATTACCACATAAAATATGTTTTTAAAATGGTGGAATTTTTTAGAAAAATATTGATGTCACAAATAAACTCCGCCCCTTGGTGTAACAACGAATGAAAAATTCATCACAATTGAGATCGGGACGGGTGGGTGAGGCTTAATTTTTGTTTTTTTTTTTTTAATATAGAATTTTCTTTCAACAACAGGACAGTTAAACATATTGTCAGTTTCATGTTAGAAAAAGAAGACTTTGTATATTAAGAAAATTGGACAAAATATAAGTCTTGCCCACCCACCACTTCTCGATTGTGATGAATGCTGTAATTATCGTGAGCTGAAGGGCGGAGTTTAGTTGCAAAATTCTCATTTCTCTACAAGAAATTATCATATGAAATATGTTTTTGAAAGAGTATGTTACAATTAAACTCCACCTCTCGCCCTGATTAGGAATGAAAAACTCATCACAATGAGGTCGGGGTGGGTGGGTGGGGCTTAATCTTTGTTTTCTTTTTGTTTTTCTCTTGACATGCATAGTTTTCTTCCAACAATTTTTTGCCGTAAAGAACAAGAGAGTAAGTCACGTAGAACAACTTGTACTTTCTCGTTTTTCTCGAAAAATTGAAGAAATGAAAAATTGAAAAATCTAAAAATTGAAAACTCGTGAAATTTCAAATCGAAAAACTGCTAAATCTAAAAATTGAAACGTCAAAAGTTGGAAAATCGAAAAACTGGAAAATTTAAAACTAAAAACTCAAAGAGATATCGTAAAATAAAACCGAAAAATTGCAAATTGAGAAACTGACGAAACGAAAAATTGAAAAAACAAAAAATTATAAAATCGGAAAATTAAAATTTTGAAAAATTGTAAAAATAAAGAAAATAAAAAACTGGAACGAAAAATTGCAAATGGAAAATTAAAAACTGAAATCTCGAGAAACTGAAATCGAAAAATTCCAAAATCTATAAATTGAATTGAAAAGTGGAAAATTTGAAAAATTAAATTTAAACTTCAAAACTTCAAAAAAATAAAGGAATAAAAAAATTAAAAACTGAAGAAAAATTCAAGTCAATTAAACTGGGGGAACGTTATTTACGCCACTGGTTTTTACTTTATAGCGGTTATCAGAAAACAAATTGGACTTCAGGGGCGAGGGAAGTTCTGTTGAAATAACCATCTACAAGAAATTATCACATGAAATATGTTTTTAAAAGTGTAGAATTTTTTAAATAAACATTGATGTTACAATTAAACTCCGTCCTTCGGTCTAATTAGGAATGAAAAACTCATCACAATGAGGTCGGGGCGGGTGGGTAGGGCTTAATTTTAGTTTTTGTTTCTAATACATAGAGTTTTCTTTTAACAGCAGAATAGTTAAACATATTTTCAGTTTCTTGTTGGAAAAAGAAGAGTTCGTATATTAAGAAAAAATGGACAAAATATAAGCCCCGCCCACCCACCCGTTCTCAATTGTGATGAATATTTTATTCATCGTGAGCTGAAGGGCGAAGTTTAATTGCAAAATCCTCATTTCTCTACAAGAAATTACCATATGAAATGTTTTTAAAAGGGTAGAATTTTTTGGAGAAATATTGGTGTTACAATTAAACTCCTCCCTTCGATCTGATTAGGAATGAAAAACTAATCACAATTGAGATCGGGGCGGGTGGGTGGCGCTTAATCTTTGTTTTGTTTTTTTTATTAATATATAGTGTTTTCTTTCAACAACAGGACCGTTAAATATATTGTCAGTTTCATGTTAGGAAAAGAAGACTTCGTATATTAAGAAAATTGGAAAAAATATAAGTCCCGCTCACCCACCCCTTCTCGATTGTGATGAATGCTTTATTCATCGTGAGCTGAAGGGCGGAGTTTAGTTGCAAAATTCTCATTTCTCTACAAGAAATTATCATATGAAATATGTTTTTGAAAGAGTATGTTACAATTAAACTCCGCCCCTCGCCTGATTAGGAATGAAAAACTCATCACAATGAGGTCGGGGTGGGTGGGTGGGGCTTAATCTTTGTTTTTTTTTTTCTCTCTTGATATACATAGTTTTCTTTCAGCAATTTTTTGCCGTAAAGAACAAGGGAGTAAGTCACGTAGAATAACTTGTACTTCCTCGTTTTTCTCGAAAAATTGAAGAAATGAAAAATTGAAAAATCTAAAAATTGAAAACTCGTAAAATTTCAAATCGAAATACTGCTAAATCTAAAAATTGAAACGTCAAAAGTTGAAAAATCGAAAAACTGGAAAATTTAAAACTAAAAACTCGGAGATATCATAAAATAAAGAAAAAAAAAACGAAAAATTGCAAATTGAAAAGCTGACGAAACGAAAAATAGAAAAAACAAAAAATTATAAAATCGGAAAATTAAAAAACTGAAAAATTGTAAAAATAAAGAAAATAAAAAACTGGAACGAAAAATTGCATATGGAAAAATAAAAATTGAAATCTCGAGAAACTCAAATCGAAAAATCGCAAAATCTATAAATTAAATTGAAAAGTGGAAATATTGAAAAATTAAATTTAAACTTCAAAACTCGAAAAAATAAAGGAACAAAAAAATGAAAAATTGAAGAAAAATTGAAGTCAATTAAGCTGTGGGAACGTTATTTACGCCACTGGTTTTTACGTTATAGAGGTTATCAGAAAACAAATTGGACTTCAGGGGCAAGGGAAGTTCTGTTGAAATAACCTTCTACCAATTTTTTACAAATAAAAAACGTAATCAGTGCTAATTGTCCTTACACGTACAGCAGTGAAATTCGAGAAGTAAATCGGCATCTTGTTGGCCCCATTCTTGAAAAGCTGGAGAATCAAGTGAAGCAGAAACATTCCGTACGATATTCTCCCCAACACTCTGAACACAAACATACTTAAAAATTCGTTAACGATGCCCCCATAACCATGAATACACGCCCAAATCATCCACATTACACCAACAGTCCACGCCGACCTAGAACACGACAAGAAAACCGAAGCTTCCAAGCGATTATAATCGTGATTTTCTTCCTGAAAACTGTGACAACCAACGACTGAAGCAACCATCAAAGCTCCAGAGGTGATCCAACCACTCAGATTCATGAAAGTACTCATTTTCACTTTTCTCCCTTTCAAACTATAAACACAGTAACCAAAACCTAGTCCCATAATGTAAGGAGACGCTCTGGCATGTGGCGCAATATAGTGCCTCTGAAAGTACTTCGTTTCAAAAAGTTGATTCGTTATGGGCATCCCTCCCTCATATTCGTTGACCCAAGCCAAATAAAAACTAACACCAACTGACAAAAAATACGCCAGAGTTAAGTTAAATAAACCCAAAATTCTATTTTTCCATAAAGGGTAGAGAACCACGGGTGAAAAACAATAAAAAATCATGTCGCAGCTCAAGTACCAAGTTTGCAAAATGCACTAAAAATTACTCTTACAAATTATTAAAATTGACTCCTTTTGTGTTGAGCACTTACCAAAGCTCCTGGATTGACGTAACTCTGCACGTGCAACAACGTAGACCACCAGTAATACCGACACGGTCTCAAATGAGCCACGCACGTGTCGTACCACAGCGGTCCGGAACCAAAAAACTGGATCAAAGTTGCGTAAATTAAAACAACAATACCTAGAGTGGGAGTTATTCGAAAGTAGCGATAAAGGTAAAAGGTGAATATGTTAAAAGTGCCATTCCTTGCAACGTGGTCGAAAAAACTTATGCTCACAAGCAAGCCACTAAGCATGAAAAACGTGTCTACGCAAATGGTACCACCTATTATTATTGTGCTGGAGTAGTTTAGAACCCACTGAAATGCGTTCGGTTGATTATGCGAGCAACGAAAGTGATTTGATTACGTCTAAAATTTCCAGACCATTGATGACCGGCGAAAACATGGCCATTAGGTAACGATGACCCACGACTACGTAGCAAGTGCTGAGAAAACGAAGGCCGTGAAGACAATCCAGGTCATTCTTGGTTCGTCTCGCTGTGATTTTTTGATAGTTGGAAGAGGCGCTAAATGACGCGATTAGAGTGTTTTTTGATGGTAGTACCGCTTCTAGGAGGGTACTAACACCAACTGTGACAATGAAGACCGCCAGAACTGAACTAAAGCAGTAATAATAACTACACAAAGCTAGTTGTAGATAGACGTACAAGGATATATATTGTTCTAGCCCCATTTTCGGTTCACTGTCAAGGGTCACACAATGTTCATCTTGTAAACTAACAACAAGATTTAGACCCTCACTCATTTCAATGAATGTTTTATTAAAATGACGAAGGATATCGTTCTTGGGACAAGAATCTGGTACACAAATCGACCACAACAAAACCGACTTTTCCACAATTAGTCGCACTTTGGGAAAGCGTCGTTCGGTCACATTACGAAAAGCTAAAATTTGTTTAATCAAGTCTAGAGTGGGAGTGATTTTTAGCAAACAATGTTTTCCTTTAATTTCACCATATTTTATATGGATGCACTCTTTGAAGCTTCCAAATTCGACCAAATTCCCTAGAAGGATGCCGGACTGGATCTTGCCGGAAGCATCGAACACTTAAAAAAAATTAAACTACTTAATTGTGTGAAATTTGTTTACGTACTGTTCAAAGCCCACGGTTCAAAAGTTCTTAATCCATCTTTGAACATTTGAGTGTGATTCTTACATACAGAATTTTCCACATTATTTAAAGCATACGTGGCTAGAACTTGATTCATAAGTAGACCTTGTTTCATGGTTAATTTCACAATTTTTGATTTTGTGGTATTATCTGCACCAGCTAAAGCGAGAATGAAACAGAACAAAAAAAACTGAGCCATTTTTTCACCTTTCTGTGTTTTCTTCCAACCGGAGACTTTATACCCTCTTTGATTACACCTTTCCTGCACCCATCAAAGGAGTTCTAATGACATATCCAGAGAGGTGTATTTTCGAAGAATTCCAAGTTTCCTCCACTCCTCTAAGTCACTCGGTTTTTTTCCACCTTTAATTTCTATGAATCAGTATCGTTTATTTTTTCCGTTGTTACTATCTGAGGTTGTCGACGTTACTTTACTGTCGTAATAGATCTGTTTGTTACGATATAGTAATTGCAAAATTATCGTGTTCAATTGAAAAACAATGCGTTTAAAGTGATCGATATAAATCGGGTCAAGGGTTAGAAACGCGTGGAGATATCTTACTTATGTTTACTTGGTAACTGATAAATAAAATACGAGTGTTCTTGCATTCAACTGTGAGTCAGTTTATTGAAAATGCTCGGTGGGAGCTGTACGATTTTCACCACTCAGGAACCGATCGCAGGAAGCAAAGAGAAAAAAGTTACGAAAGGAAAAAAAGGGAAAAAATAAAGATCGAGGGATTTTCGAAGAGTTCAAAATGAATAAAATTGGTAACGTTTACTTCAGGCGGCACTTGTTGACAAGAAGCTTCGTAAGTATTAACCAAGTCATAGAATGATAACAATCAGTTTAAACAAATAGATGATATTATCAATAATAGTAAACAAAAAACAATAACTTAAAAATGGGCACACGGTATCAACGTATTTGTGTGTGGCTTAGTACTTCATTTTATTTATTTCTTCAGATTTTTTGTTTATATGTTAGTTTAGTCCTGTCTTGACTAAAGAAACAATTTAGATAAATCACAAATGTTCACCAGGGTCCATTAACGTTAAATATCTAATATAAAATTCTGTGGACATTGACCCTGGATTTAATTTGTATTTACTCGTAGATTTGAAACAAATAATATTTTAATCCTTCTTACATTTTTCTTCCCTCTTAGGATAAATAAAGAGGTCTGTTAGAGTCCACATTTTGCTATTAGTGTCTAGAATATAATATTCTTGAAAATTGTTCAAAATATATTCTACTTGGCCTTTGTCATTTTTTTGTATTTTTCTTGTCAGCATTGCTTCACATATTTGTAACTAAAATTACTCTTTTATCAGACTTTTATTCCTTTTTCACATGTTTATTGTTATGTGTTCAATTAAAAATGTTCCGGGTCCAATTAAAATAAACACTTATACAATGTTGACACTCAGAAATATTAAATACCTGTACATTTAAAAATCTGTATCGTCAGCAATTTTTATTAAGATGAGGTTATCCTTATCAGTTCAGCTCATACAATAAAGTCACTATAGTACTTGCGTGATGAGAGCTATTACAAAACTTTATATCTTAATTAAGTTGCAGTTGTCAAGTTCGTTTACACATCCGGCTGATAACACTTATCAGTAGCAAAAAATTCTTCAATGTTATATAAATAGATAACTTGATCTAAAAATAAACATTCAAACAGGTGTCCTAGAAGTTAACCGAATTGACTTTGACAGCTAAACTCCAAAACTATACACCATACAAAATGACCAAAAGAAAAAAAAATCACTAAGATATTTTATTTTTAGGCCACCAAAAAGATCATCGCAATTCGCCGCGAAGACCAAAGCGTCTGGGAACGTCGTGCCCCCTTCTCCCCTACCCATGTCCGCAAGCTAGTCAAATCGGGCGTTAAAGTCATAGTCCAACCCAGCAATCGTCGCTCATACCCCATGCAAGCCTACCTCAATGCAGGTGCAGTGGTCCAAGAAGACATCTCCGAAGCTAGCGTCATCTTCGGGGTCAAACAAGTACCCATAGACCAGCTAATACCAGACAAAACCTACTGCATTTTCTCCCACACCATCAAAGCACAAGAAACCAACATGCCACTACTGGATGCCATTTTGGAAAAACGTATCAGATTAATGGACTACGAAAAACTCATGGACGAAAAGGGACAAAGGGTTGTGGCTTTCGGCAAAATGGCGGGAATTGCAGGGACTGTCAACATCTTTCATGGGTTGGGTTTGAGGTTGTTGGCTTTGGGTCACCACACCCCGTTTATGCACATAGGACCGGCACACAATTACCGAAATTCTAGTATGGCTAAACAGGCTGTCAGAGATGCGGGGTATGAAATAGCGCTAGGTTTGATGCCTAAGTCGATTGGACCTTTGACGGTGGTGTTCACGGGGTCCGGGAATGTGTCGCAAGGGTCGCAGGAAGTCTTTCAAGAGCTACCTCATGAGTATGTAGCGCCTGAAATGTTAAAGAAAGCGGCGGAACATGGCAGTTTGAATAAGGTCTACGCGTGCGAGGTTAGACGAAGACACTACTTGGAACGAGCGGAAGGTGGCGGTTTTGACCCTCTAGAGTACGAAGAACATCCAGAGAGATATATTTCAACTTTTAGCAAAAATATAGCGCCGTACGCTTCTATTATTATTAACGGAATTTACTGGGCTGTTAACAGCCCGAAGTTATTGACAATACCAGATGCCAAGCATTTGTTAAGACCTGCACATACCCCCTGGTTACCGACGTCAGTAGGAGCCCCAGCTCTTCCTCACAGAATGTTAGGTATCTGTGACATATCAGCCGATCCCGGTGGTTCTATCGAATTTATGAACGAATGCACCACCATTGATACCCCTTTTTGTCTATACGACGCCGATCGCAACAAAGACACAAAAAGCTTCAGCGGTCCGGGAGTTCTCGTATGTTCCATTGACAACATGCCCACCCAAATCCCACGAGAAAGTACCGACTTCTTCGGAGACTTGTTGTTTCCTTATGCGCACGATATTTTACAATCTAACGCGCAACAACCTCTAGAAAATCACAAGTTTTGTCCACCAGTTCACGGAGTAAGTACATCCGAGATAACGCTTCTTATCTAAGTACTTTATTTTTAGGCTATCATCGCCAGTAACGGTAAACTAACACCCAACTATGAGTACATCCAAGACTTGAGAACATCCGCCATGTAAGTACCAAATTCTGTTTCTTAGTCTAAACTAAGTACTAAAATTGTAGTAAAAGCAGGCAAAAATCTACCGAATCTACCAACATCGAGAAACGGGTGGTCATTATAGGTGCCGGACGTGTAGCTGCACCTTTAGTGGAGTACCTTCACCGGGATGACTCCATCGGGATCACAGTAGCATGCGAGAAGAAAGACCTGAGTGATCATCTAGCACGTTGTTTCCCAGGCATTCAAAGTCTGTATCTCAATGCTATTGAAAGTACCAACACTCTTGAAGAAATCGTGAAGAAAGCAGACGTCGCGGTTTCCATTCTTCCGGCAAATTTGCACCATGTGGTGGCTCAAGCGTGCATCAAAGAAGGTACTCATATGGTAACAGCGAGTTACTTGAGTGAAGAAATGAAGAATTTACACAGACAAGCAGCTGATGCAGGCATTACAGTACTTAACGAGATTGGTTTGGACCCTGGAATTGACCACTTATTAGCTTTGGAGTGCATCCAAGATGTACAACAACACGGGGGAAGAATAACTTCATTTGAGTCTTTTTGTGGAGGACTTCCAGCTCCAGAGTTTAGTGACAATCCTTTGAGATATAAATTCTCGTGGTCACCACGTGGGGCTCTTTTGAATACCTTGTCTGGAGCGAGGTATTTAAGAAAAGGGCAGATTGTGGAGATCAGTTCTGGAGGGGAGTTGATGAATGCAACTAAAAGTCTAGATTTTTTGCCAGGTTTTAACCTAGAAGGTTTCCCCAATAGAGATAGTACCATATATGCTAAGTACTACGGGATTGAAGATGCTTTGACGATACTCAGGGGAACTATTAGGTACACAGGGTTCGCCCATGCCGCTAGAATGTTACAATTTTTGGGGCTACTGGATCCAGAACAACATCCAGCTTTGCACGAACAAGGACCTGAAATTACCTGGCGGATGTTAATTTGTAACCTTCTAGGTCTAGAAAATCACAACATCTTCTACGACAATTTAAAAAATCAAATTACTGAGAGAACAGGGTCTGAATATGCTGTTGATTTGTTGGAAGACTTGGGACTTTTGGACGAAAAAGGTGTAGTCAAATGTGGGTCACCTTTGGATACTTTGACTCACTACTTGTCGACCAAGTTGGCTCTAGGTGAGTACTGGTGGTACTGAATACTTCTAAATAATTTTGTGATAATTTTAGAAAAAAATGAACGCGATTTGGTCATTTTGAGACACGAGATTGGTATTAGCTGGCCTGATAACAAAAAGGAGATTCGAGGGGTTAACTTTGTGGTCTATGGGGACATCAATGGGTACTCTGCTATGGCAAAAACTGTGGGTTACCCTACTGCTATAGCTACGAAGATGATACTAGATGGTGAAATACAAGAAAGAGGGATGATTTTGCCATTCGAACCAGAAATTTATCGCACAATTTTATCCAGGCTACGAAACGAAGGCTTGAATAGTACCGAAACGTCAAAATTCTTTTAATTTCTATTGTAATTAATGTTTGTAAAAATTAATGAATTTTTGCTTTGTGTTTAATATGGTAGGTGCGGTTACAGTTCGGGTCGGTCGCGTGCGAACGTAAGCACAACCATAATATGGTAATGAGATATGGATTGGGGCCACAACATATGGGCTGGGTTAGGGCTTCTTATTTCCGGTGTACAGTTTAGTGTGATTAGTATGCAAATGAAGTACTTTTGTGTGTTTAAATTGTGAGAGTTCTTATGGGTTGATATTTTGTCGCGTGATGGTAGTACTTCTTTGCCACATTAATTTTTTATTATTATTTTTTTTAATATGAAAAAATACTTAGTGACGACTTCCATACATCAAATTGAACTTTCATAATTTAATATATCAGGTAGTACCGTCAAGCTTAATTAACCAGCTGACGTCACAACGAATTAGTTCAATAATAGTTCAAATCCTCCACAAACTGTGCTTTTCACAAGCATCTAGCGGCCCTTTCACACAATAAAAATAATTACGTCCCCTAACGCCACATTCTCAATTATTCTTTGCTTTGTTCAGAAATTCCGATCACTGAATCACCTCAGTTTACATCTTGTTGTCTTGATATTTTTAGTATTCGCGTCGATATTTTCGTACAAAGAAGATATTTTTATTGGCCGGGTCTACTAAAATGTCTACTAAAATCAATGGTGTGTACCATAGGTAGGTGGCACATTATCGACACGAACTGAACAAACCAGCTCGACAACCAGCGTCTACCTGCCTTCGTTCGGCGAACCCAAACAAAGAAATCCGTTCCGAGCCGAAAATAATAATCGGTTGAGAACCCAAAGCGAATAAAAAGATTTCAAGAAAAATGCGTGTGAAGCTATGTGCGGGGGCGATACCTGGCAGGTGTACGAGTATTGAACCCGTTGTTTAGGCAACACATATTACCGAGCTCTGTGCGATACCCCACCAGGAGTAGGCCTCGTTGAAGCGAACGCACGGCCGGTGAAACGTCAACGCGGCTTGTCGAACCAAGTAGAACAGTGACTCTCAAACGAGCACTCGGAAAGTCCCTATTTTTCCATTTTGTTGCGATGCGTGGTCGCAGGTGTTTACATACTAAATTTCTAAAAGAAAAATTGTAAAACGTCATTTCATTTTTACTAGTTTTATTGAAAACGAACTACTTCGGATAGTCTTTGTGGCCAGTGTAAAAATCACGAGTGCTAATTTGTTCCTTGAATACACTTTAATTTTTCAGTACTTAATTGGACAATCGGTGGACGGCTACCGTGTGACGTGTAATCACGTGACCATACTGAGGTGGTCAGGATCAAATGAGATCACCTAATTAAACAAGTTCCCTTGTGTTGTGGGATTATATTTGGTTGTTTTTAGGGGATTTTAAGTTTTTTTTTTTTTCGGAATGACATATCAGCAGCAGTGTCGTTCAACATAACCGCAAATTTCCGCTAGGCAAATTCCTCGACACGTGTGTACAGTTTGGTGACCGCTGGCAGCGCCGCCCCCGCCGTCCCGCGCCCCTTCGCCCACGGGTCGTTCGCCGCAACGATCCCCACTCCCCCACCAGGTCTGGAGCGCAACCAAACTTGTCAGAATCCGGAGTCGCTGGTACCGTAATATCACTGTATTGTTTTTTTGTCGGTGTGTGCAATCCGTGGGCTCTGAAATGGTGTCTGGTGCAGCCTGGGCCCCCCGCAGCGCCGCCCCAGCCTTATAGTGCCCGTGAAGTGCGCGCGTGGACGATCCCGATGGAGAACAGCTCGCACTCGGCCGCTAACCCCATTTCGCAGGGGTGTGGCCCACATTCGCAGATATCCATCCATGTGAGCCCCACCACCGGGGGCGACTTCTACCTCACGGTGGAGCCCGACATCAGCGTGGACGGCTTCAAGAAGTTGGTATCCAAGAGGCTCAAGGTGCCCAGGGACAGGATATGCCTGCTGTTCCGCGATAAGTGGGTGACAGAACGCTGTATTTTACAGTTACGATTTATTTCGGTGGTTTTGTGTTCCAGGCAACTGCAGGAGGGGAGTCTGCTTCAGCATGGGATCTCCGATGGGTCTAGGGTCACGCTGCTGCCCAACGTGGAGACGGGGCTGATCGTATGTTCTTTTTTTATGTTGTGGAGTGCATGTGCTAATTATAGCAGCAGAGGTGGAAAACACTGATCTGTGTTTTGTTTACTTAATTGTTACTGTTCATTAACTGTTGCTTTACTTTTTCACTTGGAGATAAAATGAGGTGGAGGGAAGGGATGAGGATGTGTCTGTGTTGGTGTTGGAAGTTACATAATTTACCTATTTGGAGGTTGGGAGGGTGGGGCTAATGTTTCATGCAAATCTTCCCAGCATTTTTGTGCATCACTTCTAATTAATTAAATCTTACTTAGAATAATAATTTACATTTCCTGATTATAATTAAGCTTGTAGTGGAAACAATAGTGCAGTTTTTATTTTCTATTATAATTACAATGCGATGTTGTTTTTTTTCAAAATTTACAGCACGCTTACATTTTCATGACATTACACAATTACTGGATTTTTTGCTTCCATTAAACCAACAATTTCTAAAGCATCCTTGCTCGAAAGCACTGAAAAGATTAACATAAACATTTTCACGTTACTTTCACTTAACACCAGTATGTAATTTTTTTTAATATGTACACTGAGACAACACAATCGGTGCCATTTTGTTGCTGAAAAAATTTCCGTACACATAACTGAAAAGAAAATCAAAAATTTAATTTAATACAACTGTACAACAATCAGAATTTTCAGAAAGTAACGTATATTTTTAGAATATAACTGTGTAATTAACTTTTGTGGCATAAATTATACATTCCCTATTAATCTTTATGACTAATATTTAATATTAAGATATATAACGGTAGTTAAATGTTGTTTTAACCAATGACAGAGCATAAGTTATTTTAAACTTTTTTTTATTGTTTTATTTATTTATTCAATCCATATCTAAGGATTGTGTAATACATATAATATGAACAAGTATTTAACAAATTTACTTACCGCTTCAGAAAACCGCTAAATTAAGTATCTAATGTTCGTATTATTTATAATATTGACATTCTAAGCTTTGTTTTTATTATTAAAAAAATGACTCATGAGACATTTCTAGATTTTGGGGGCACACTGAAGTACTCAATCAATTATTACTTTTTATGACTGACATTTTAAATACTGGGTGTTGTAAGTCCGCTTTTCGTGCTCTTATAACCGAAATTTTATAATTTATTATCAGAAGACAAAACACAAAAACGTTTCTGTCCTACAACGAAAACAAAATTCTTGAAAACATGATTGTTTTTCTTTTTAATCCATGATTTTGGTTCCATCATGACAACTGAACGGCCAACATTAAACTACGCCTGATTAATTTCTACTGGTCTTTTTTCAAAATATTTAGAATACCACTTATCATTAATTATGGACAAGAATAGAATTAGAAGTATCTCTCTGAAAACTATTTGTGAATAAATCCAATATTTGAAAAAGTAATAAAATTTCACAAAATTGTTCGAATAGTTCAATTAGATTTCTTAATGCAGCTTTTTTAATGCTTATTTGTTTATGATGTCATCAGTGTGCAAAGGTTTTAAATAGAATAATATCTCTTTTTCTGCATGTAATATTACTTTTCCACTTCTACATTTAAGACCAACGTTTTCTAAAAAAGTTCGAATGTAATGCCATTTTTATAGTGAGCAAGGTGTTTCGAATAATGTTGCCTCTTCAGGCACCCACAGTGTCGCGAAATGGGTGTGTAAAACTGTCAATCTATCATTGCTTAAAGTTTGGACACATATGAGAAAACTTGTGAAAGATTTGACCCTCCTTAGTAGGATGTTGGCTGTCTGTGATGACGCAAAATAAAATTAGTACAATATCTCGAAATCTTGTTTGCTTTGATGACTTATAAGGTTTCAGGGTTTCCCTTTCTTTTGTTTACATACTACGTTTTCTGTTGGAATTTTACTAGTAAATCTCGAAAAAAAATTTGCGTGAATGCTTGTCGCAAATCTCCCTTTGATTTTTTTCCACCAAAGAGTTTTCTCATAAATCTACGTCAGCTACTAAATTACCGTGATTTAGACCTATTAAATTAAAATATCAACATGAAAACCACGTAGAACTTAAACTGTTGCATTATTAGAATGCAACGAAAGTCATACTTGTAGTATTTTTTAAATCAACAACTATTTGGCACCGAGACTTTTAGATATGTTAAATATTTTAACTTTAAAAATAAATTGTTGAAGTGTTCATTCTGACCACTGATAAACCTCGCGAAATACTCTCATTTACATACCTAACATAAGTGTGTACTAATTCGAAACGTCAAGTCTCATAATTCCCCATCAAAAAAGTGATTTTTGTGGTAGTTCGTTCCATAACCGAAATTTGTTTTTCCTATTATTAGAAGAAATCGAAGTCGTTGTGGAAACATTAGAGGTTTTGTTGTATTCAAACGTAGCCTCGATTTACATATTTTATATTCTTTGAGTAGATAGTGTTTTATCAACGTTCAGTAAGATTAGTGATTCCTTAGTAATTTAAAAATAATAATGTAGTTTCTGCTTAATGTTGCTTAAGCATAAGAGAATTATTTTTACTGCTTTGTAGTGTAACTTTATAATCTGATATGACTACGTTAACGCAACAGATACGTCCATTTGTATGCTGTATGACGTACGAGTAGTAAATTAGATTTGGTTTAATTACTAATTAATTATTTTTTCAATCCCTAGTATTAAAATGAACGAAACTTTCGTTTTGATCGTCATTATAAATGGATTAATAATAACCCCTTCACTTCAGTAAGCCCTTGGGAAATTCGGTGTTGATGGTTGGTACTTTACATATTAATAGTGGCGTGACGCAATATGACGCTCAGTGATGCACCCTTAATTATAAAGTTTCACGCATCGCAAAAAAAAAACGAAGAAATTTGACACCGACAACGCCATTATAGTATTTAAAAAAACTATTACTTATTATTATCATAATTATGCCACATCCACAAATAAAGGGCACCTGTATCTGTCCAAATCGATAAATAACATGCAATTAATATCGAATAAATGTTTAATCATGGATTAAAGAGCGATTTCATGTGGAAAAGTATGACATGTTTCACTTTTTCCAAGGTTGCGCAGATAAACAAACATGGATAAACTTTTTGTAATAATGTAAATCCCAGATTACAAAAGTTCGGTTTAGTCAATAGCTGATTGTAAATTAATAAGGAATATTTCTCTCGTTTCAGACCCAACGCCCCGAAATCGGGATAATGCAAGCCTTAGAATCTCTGAACGACACCCAAGTTAATGAATTCCTTTGTGGCAAGGCCCCATTAAACCTAAGCATGCGTTTGGGAGATCACATGATGCTAATACAGTTGCAACTCAGCACCGTTTCAGGAACAAAACCGCCAGTAGTCTCCGGACCACCACCGCCAGCCACTAATCCTCCAAGTTTACTACAAGCATCTAGAAACCTTCAGCATACGTTGAGAAGATTATCAGCTGACGTATTTTCGGGTCGCGATAAAGGTATTATTAAAATGTTTATTTAGTTTGACGTAATAGTATGTAGCAAAGTACTGCGAAAATGACTTTTGTGGGACTGCGCGCTTAAGATTATTAACCAATTCGAATTCTACCGTTTATCGAACAATATGTGGGTCATTTTTAAACTGACATTTTCGTCTGATATGGTCGCAACTACAATAAATAAAAATTTAATAAGCTGGTAGATTTACTAAAATTTCGTCAATTTTACGCCAAGTCGAGCTTAAGTTGGCCACAGTTAAGTGGGCAAAAATTATATAGTTACACTTAAGTTTTGACAACTGAGTAAAATGCCAGGCATGATTCTTCTAACACGAACCGTATAATAATAGTTATTTACGCTGTAAGTGGGATAAGACCATTACTACCAAACGAGTGTGAAATTTGCGCACAAGGCGTCGGCCGAGTGTCAATGCTTTGTGTAACGTATAGGATTTTGTTTACAGTTCAAAGTATCTATATTTTTAAGATATGAGTGAAATAAGTTAAATTTATTCCACTGTCAACTGGGTTTTTTGGTTTTACAGACAAACTTTCCAAAATATAAATCATTATTAATAGAGGAGAGAATTTATATTACATTGCGGTTATATTATCTGCGAGTTTTTGACTTTTTCCATTTAAATAAAATTAATGTAGATAAAGTCAAATTCGAATACAATAATCATTTGTTTTAATTAACCCAGACGTCGCTAATTAAACAGGCAATGACTCAATAATTTACTTTGTTAACAATATGAATTCTGAAAAATTATTATTACTAATAAATTCAATAAAATGTGAAGTGCAATAATATTTGCAAAAACTCTCAGACCGATAAATTTGTTTGCTTAGTTACGTTCCGTGTGACACCATGATTGTGACGTCAGTAAGTTTCCAATTGCAAGGTCATGTGCACTTATTCGAACAGATGACGTAATTGTAATATTTTCACTAAAAAAAATATTTTAATAGTTTTTTTAGATATTTGTAAATCCAGTCCTACTTTTCAAAAAATTAAAATTGTTTGTAATTCTCTTAATGGTTAAAGGTAAACTCGATGTTTCAACTGAGATAAAAATTGTTACCATATTAACCAAGTTTATCTTCCACAAATTTTATAAAAAAAACATAACATCATGACATTTGCTTCAAGATGGCGGAATCAATAAAAAATGACGTCTTAAACATTGCCATTGTTCTCAGATGATTATAGAATATATCATAACCTAGGCTTGCGGTACACAATATTTTCATTCATGTCATTTTTAGATTGTAATAAATTGTTTAGTGAAATAAGGAAGAAGACAATTTCTGTTACACATGCAGTGATAGAATTTCCAAAGTCAGCTTGATGTTCTTTTTATATATTTATGATCACCCGGTTTGTCGTTTGTGATTAGTGACTTCCTGTTATCTTTGAAAAATTAACTGAACATTTGTCGTCATTAATTTTTATTAGAATTTTCTTGATTTTCCGGGTTTAGATAAAACGTAATTTATTTTTATTAGTTAGATATACATTTTCTGCACTAACTGAAGTCAGTTTGTAGGGGACTGGTTAAGTAGCAAACACACGAATGATTATTAATGTCATTTTTTGTCATGTTGGCAAGATTTAAAATTTTATGATGGCATACCTGATTGACAGATTGACATTTATGACAGCAAGTCAGGAGGTGTTTAGTATACCGACGTTGCCAAGTTGTACACTACACTTTAAAATAAAATAATAAAAAAAAACGTATGCAACCGTTAATACTCCGAAAATTTAAAGAATATACGGTGTGATTTTTTAAACTGGCAACCAATAATGTGAAAGAAGTAAGGCTTAGTTTAATTAGTTTAACCTCAATTTGTGATAATGACAGTGACATTTATATAAAAAATAATTAAACCACGCCCTGAGTGAGTAGAGAAGTTGATGAGGCAACGCACAAAATGTTCCAGTATTTAAGTATTGAAAAAATTAGATATATTGTCTTGGTTTGGTTGTTCACGTAGAAATTTTTTGACAAAAAATGAAATTTTAGAAACATAAGCAAGGCAAATACCGTGTAATGTGTAATTTTTCTATGCCAAAAAACAATTTTTATTTGATTACAGTATAACCTCAATAATCCAAACAGAGGCTAGTTGAAGTCGATGCCTCTTTAATCCGAACAAAAACTCTGCAATCCGAACTGAACTTGAAAACATGCACCTACTTGCAAAAATGACGCAAGATCTTCTTTCTACACCTGCTGTATTGAATTTTTTGAAATGTTTAAAAATTGCGAAATTTCAATGCAATGAATTAATTAACTAATTCTGGAAAAAAAGTTGAAGTTTTCGAAGAAATGAGGCCGGAAGTGACTTCTGCCGCCCGAAATCTACCTGAAAATATATTTAGTTAAATTTCGAAAATCGTCGAGAATGGGTCGAAATTTGCATAAGGGATTACTTAATACGAAGTTCTGAAAAAATTCAGGGATATAGATCCCGGCGTGGATAGCGTGTTTATGGTCACGGAGTAATATTTTTTTCGACTGTATATAATGTCCATTGTTGCTTATTTCTGTTTAAAAAAATTAAGGTTTCTTTCTTGAAGTTTATTTTCAGCAGGGTATGAAGTTGTTATTCAATTCCCTTTCAGATTTTTGGGAAATTCGCTGATCCGAACAAATCACTATTCCGAACACACGTTTTCCTCAATTAATTCGGATTAGCGAGGTTCTACTGTATTTGTAATATTTAATATATAATTTTGCAAAGATTTGCTTGAATTTCTGTTGTTTATCATTCGTTTTATTTCGACGGTAAAATATGATCAAATTTTCTATAAATTTTGTTAAACGTGGATTCTAGCTCTGAGAAGTTCTGTAAACGAACTTACTTACAATTTTTCATTGCAAATTTTGATTTAAATTTTTTTGAACTTGTACCATTCGATTTTTCAATTTGTCGTTTTTTCAGTTTTTTGATTCTTCGATTTTATGATTTTTGAGTGGTTCAGTTTTTGAACTTTCGAATTTTTTAGTTCACGATTATGTCGTTTTTAGTTTTTCAGGTAGCCCTACTTATCAATTTCTAGATGTTTTAATTTTTCGTTTATTCCTTTTTGGATTTTCCATTTTCTCAATTTTTAATTTTTCGATTTTTGATTTTACAGTTGTCCGATTTTAGGTCTTCTAGTTTTCAATTTTTTTATTTTTCGTAGAAGATATATTTAAATTTTTTATTTGCAATTTTTCGATATTTCAATTTTGCACTTCCTTAATTTTTTAATTTTTAGATTTTTCAATTTTTGATTCGGCTCTTAAATTTTTCAAGTTCTCAATGTTTTACTGTTTCATTTTCCCAGATTCTAATTTTTAAATTGTAAACAAAATGAATAAATTTATTACAGTTAAAATTTTGAAAATTTTACCGTTTTTGGATTTTATTTATAATGTGTTGACTGAGCATATTTTTACACCCATTGTTGAATTTTTAAAAATTCTTTAGTTTTCTGATTTTGCAATTTCTCGATTTTCCAATTTCTGTTAGATTGTATTACAATTTTTTGGTTTGCAATTGTTCGAATTTGTTTCAAGTTTGGAAAAATTTTCTATTTATCAACTTTTCAATTTTTCTATTTTGTACTTACTTGGATTTTTAACTTTCTCGATTCAGAATTATTCACTTTTACAGGGTTTCGATTTTACAATTTTTCGATCATGGAAATTTTCGTTCCTTCAGTTTTTGGATCCAGCAATTTTTCGTTTCCTAGATTTTTCGATTTTTTCAATTTGTATTTATGTACGATTATTCCAATTTTTATGTCTTCAATTTTTTGATGTGTGGTTTTTCTAGTTTTCAATTTTTAGTCTTTTTAGTTTCTAGTTTTTAAATAATTAAGTTCTTGTTTTTGAATTTTTAAATTTTGGACAAAAAACAGGTTTATTCAAATTGAAATTTTGAAAAATTGTAAAGCAGGAGCTTTTCGTGTTACTCTTGTGTTTTTGGTGTGTCTCTTCGAAAAATGGAAACATCCAAAATAAAAAATTGAAAAATGGAAAATCAAACAACTGAAAAGACGAAAAATAAAATATGAATCGAAAAATTGAAAAACCTTAAATAATAAACTTATAAAGAGTTAATCTAAAAGGTTAAGAAGGAAATACTGAAAAATTGAAAAATTCAAAAGTTACAAAATCTAAATATTCGAGAATTTAAAACTGGAAACAAAATTGAAAAACAAAATTTTGAATTTAAAATTGCGACAGAAAAATTGAAAAACCGAAAAATAAAAAAAATTGAACAAAACACTCAAAAAATTGAAATGAAAATACTGGTGAATGGAAAGTTCGAAAAACTGAAAAAACGAAAAACTAAAATCGAAAAATTGATAAATCTAAAAATTAAAAACTTAAAAAGTTGCTAATCAAAAAATGGATTTATTGAAATATTCGAAAAGTTGCATTACGGACAGCCTACATATTAAACGACATCAGTTTTGCGTATATGAAGAAACACTTCAATGTTAAGAATTACAATTAATTACTCAAATCTATTTTAATTTATTTACAAATTACCGTAACTCGTATTTTTGTGCTTTGACAAAAAATAATTAAAATATTAATGTCTTCAGCTAGAATTCCGCGTCCTAATATCCTGACAACAGATGTAGATATTGAAATTTTGAGAACGCCATTGTTTTTAGCTTGACGAGGGAAACTTAATTTAGCCCATTACAAATAGGTATATTTTTTTTAATCGCAATGAATCAGAGTTGGCTGATTTTTCATATTTCACAATTAATTGAAGTAATTCGAAAATTTCAACATTCCGAACCTTGTGAATCCACTGTTATAAATAATCTCCATAGCTCTGTTGTTCGTCCACATCATAATTAACTTTGTTCAATTCATTAAACGAGCCATAACCTCTCCACCTATGACGTTTAATTTTAATAACAAGCTTTAATTATAATGCAAACCAATAAACACACAAGTCACTTTTTACTTCCGGAACGTAAGCCAAGGAAGTTTCCGTCTGTCTGTCTGCCTGAATTTACTACCGGACCGATTGTTGTCAAATTTTATAAAATGACATACTCCTACAGTTGCGCTTTATGAATCTGCCGTGATTTTTTATTATATTATTTTTATTCATTTTATACCAGTTTTATAAGGGCATTGACGCCTGGTAAACTCGATGGTCGTGACGTAAATTGTTGAATTAGTAACGCTAAGTGATCGTGTGGTATGGAAATCCCAAATGTCTACGTCTTTCAAAAGCCCTATTTTTTTACTGTAACAAACAGAAACTGCAAACAAGTTTGCTGTGATAAAATAAATCAAAAAAGACTTCTCTGAAAAATTATCATTTTTTGCGATTTTTGTTTTCTGATAACCTGTATAAAGTAAAAACCAGTGACGTAAATAACGTCCCCGAAGCTTATTTGACTTGAACTTTTTTCCTTCAATTTTTGAATTTTTCAACTTTTCAATTCAAGGTCTAAATTTTGCAATCTTTCGATTTGAGTTTCTCGAGTTTTAAATGTTTCCATTTACAATTTTTCGTTTCAGATTTTTATGTTCTTTAGTTTTACAATTTTTCGTTTCGACAGTTTTTCAATTTGTAATTTTTCAATTTTTTAATTTTACAACATCTCTTCGAGTTTTCAGTTTTAAATTTTCCAGTTTTTCAATTTGAAATTCATGGGTTCTCAATTTTTAATTTTTCAACAGTCCAAAATTATTGAATAATAGATTGAGTTTATATTTTTTGTTATAATATCTCTTGTTCTTCGAGGCAAAAAATTCTTAAAAGAAAACTGTGTAAATAAAGAAAAAAAAACAAGGATTACGCCCCAGCTCACGATGAATAAAGCATTCATCACAATTGAGAAGGGGTGGGGGGGGGGGGCTTATATTTGGTTCCTTTTTTCTTAATATATGAAGTTTTCTTTTCCCAACAAGAAATTGAAAACATGTGTAACTACCCTGTTATTGAAAGAAAAATCTATATATTAAAAAAAAAAAAAAAAGTAAGCCCCACCCACCCGCCCCGATTTCAATTGTGATGAATTTTTCATTCGTTGTTAGACTGAGGGGCGGAGCGTAATTGTAAAATACATATTTCTCTGTTGATTTGAATGAGTTTGTCTTCTCAAAACACAGGACTAAAACTATGAATTAAATCACAATCGAACAAAATGTTATGGACATTATAATTCTTAGTTTATCATAATTTGACTTAAGGCCAGTTTATAAAATAACGAGGCATTTAGCGACGTCTGATTGGCGTAGATCTTAGATTTCGAAAAAGGAGACGATCTGTGTTAGTTTAATGTTCTAGTAATAATAATAAATTAACGCCTAGCATTTACAAAATGAAACGTTCAATTATTAAAAATTGTCATAAGAAGTTGTCGAAATTTATTAAGTAACATCTAAGCTAATAATACAAACTACTTCGACCAACGGTAGAATTTGGCGAAAAAACTCGTTTAGTTGATTATTCCAAGTCCCACAATAGTCATAATGCGACTCCGATTGCCCTTCACTAACGCGTTTGGAATATAAAGCGTCAGATGTGCCTCCAGGCCGCAGGGAGAGCGTGTACTCTGGCACATTCAGCGGCGCTCTAAACCCGGCCCTACAGGACCCGAAGGGCAGGCCGCGCCGCGACGTCGCCACCATCGTCCACATCCTCAACGACCTCCTCTGTTCGGTGCCCGAGTTCCGAAGAGTAAGTCGGAAAGGGTCCGAGGAACCAGTACCTGTCCCCGAGCAAGAAGACGAGCCGTCGCCTTCGACATGTAGTGAGGACCAAAACCTGCGCACGCGCGGGAAACTCGAACAGCTGCGCCTCGTCATGGGGGAGAGGCGCGAGCGCAGACGCCAACGTAAACAGAAACCGTATTCGTTGCCTCCTAGTGATACCGACACCGTAACCGCATAAACTGTTTCCTCTGTTTGTACATAGTTTTCTTTATTTTCCAAGATATGATTCTAAAATTACGCTAAAGCTCTTCTAAGTTAGCAAGAAGAAACGTGGCTGTGGGTTAAGTGGATCGCCATGCCCCGGGTGGCGGCTGTTTTACTGTTGACAGTTTTTATTGTTCGTAATTTAAAAGAGTTTTAATGTAAGCAGCTCCGAATGTGCATTTGTAAGGTCTTTCTTTAAATTTAGTTCTTTATTAGCAGTAATTGTTTTAGTTGTTCCTTTGTTGTAATTATTTTTAGATACAAGCAATTTAAACGTTAGATGTTAAGATCAAGTTAAGCAGAGACATAGGCGGCAGCCCGTAAAGCGTTTTGTTTCTGGTCCGTATTCAGTAGACAAAAATATTCATTGGTTATGTTTAATAAAGTATTTTCTAAAATTGCAACGGCTTTAATTACACACTTTACCGGGAAGTGCAATAAATATAAGCGCAAAAAACGTCTATTTTCCTATTTATTAAGGACAGTGCATGTTCAAATAGCGCAAACAATGTTTTAGATGTAGGGAAGGGTTGAGAAACGAGTAAGTAGTTGCTTTAAACACGATTAAATGATCAAGTGATTTTTAACGAATTTATTGCTTGTGGCTAAATTATCCAGTGATAAAGTAACACAGAAGTAATTAAAACAAAAAGCAAAAACAACCCAATACAGAAGGTTCAGTTTCCACTGATCTGAGTACCTATGTTCACTACTACGGCGACTCCAAACATTCATTTAAATGACGCCATATTTTCTTTTAACATCTATGAACAGACCCTAAATGACACTGTTCCAAGATCAGGTAAAATCTCTCGTCAGGAGCGTATTATTATAATTTCAAACTGGTATTTCACGTCAGAAATGAATAAAAGTAACATCTATTCATATAACAAAAGATTGAACTCACGTTTAAAACCTAAGAGAAAAATGTGGTTTCATTTAAAAAGCATAAGGACTCCAATAGGTAGTCTAATCAATAGAAAATGTTCCTTTTATTATATCCCATTAGTTTTGTCATAACCTTTACATATAACAATTGTAATTCGTTTAATGGGTTATTTACAACTACTCTGTATTTAAATTAAGTTTACTACTCTGTGATAAAATTGCAAGAACCCATCCATTGTGTACCCAGCGTCAATCAATTAAAACAAAATAGCATGAAAAATGTGTTTAAAAACCCTTACTGGTTATACATACATGCAAACGTATCAATTCAGTTTAACTCAAATTTCAAAAAATTAATAAGTTTCTATTTTTTCAAAAGCCATTTTCCGAATATAGATACAAGATAATTTTAATATTGTCGTGCAATAAAACTGTCGCAGATTTAGCGATTTGTTTATTAATTTAAGTAATATACACTGAAACACCTGATGTTATGGTCTTTAATTTGCGAATACAATTTTCCAACAGTTTCAAAGCCCAACAGAATGAACATTTACAACACCAACATCTCTAATTTTGTATTACCTCGAAAAGCTTTGTTCTTTGCAGAATTAGTTTGAATTTTCAGATTACGAGGACCAGAACACTTTCAGGTTTCACGAGACGCCTATGGAGCATGTGCAAGAATGTGTGAAGTCGAATTAGAAGAATTTTATCATGGTCAGCGTCCTACTCGAGTTAACAACAGTGATAATAATTTGGTTAATCCCAAAAGGTTCAGCGACAAAGAAGAACTATAAAAACAAAACAAATTAAACAGAATTAATTATAAAATTCAACAATTACCCAACTTTACGTATAATGGACATCAGTGTCGGATTGAGGACATGGGGGTCCACCGGGAAATTTACAAAGTGGAGCCCTATGGTATTGTACACAGATGTTATTTGGGTTTATTATTGCTATTATTATTTTTGCCGGCGACATTAGCGTTTTGAAAAATGATGTTGTTTTTGGAATTTTTATAACGCTACCGAGAAAAACAAAGCTAGTAAAAAATTGTGGAAGGTTATTTAGACAGAACTTCCCTGGCCCTTGAAATATAGTCCGACAAATTCCGCTTCTTTAAAAAATTATAAAATTAAATTTTTCGATTTTCATTTTATGACAACTGTTAACTTCTATAAAGTGGTGTGATGAACATGCCCGCAGCCCCTGCATATTTAAGTGTGAAATATATTTAAAGCAAATAATTAACAGGAAAATGTAGACATTCTCAATTTCTCAGCATATGCTTAACTTCGACTGTACGTTTATACTTCGACCGAATTCGACTATTAGCACGTTCAGATTACAAGCATCAGCGGTTAACAGATTTTCCCAAAAATACTAATAAATTTGAAGAAATTCGGCAAAAATGTAAGGTTACGGATGAATTTTGATTAACGAGTTATGCTTCAAATAAAATATTGTTATACAATGTTGAATTTTATCCAAAAATCTGGATACTATGGGTAAAAACTCAACACGGATTCATAAATCACACATATAGGATGTAAATTATTGCAAAATGTTATACAATTTTGATTTTTTCGCCAAAAATCTGGATGTCTAGGGTGAAAACTCGACACGGATTCATGAATCACACGTGCAGGAATATGCAATCCTATAAAATTAAATATACCAAAAAAGGGGACAAATTAGCAGTAAGAAAAATATGGTACGTTTCCCTTGACATTTTGTTTTTGTTTTTAATTTATTATAAAGTGCTTTATCATTTTTTTTTAACAGGCCAATTTTAAGGTTGAAGTTTTTTTTTTTTTTTTTTTTGTAAAAATCCACAACGTTTTAAAAAAATATCTCAAAAATGGGTTTAAATGTAAAAAAAATGCATCAAAAAAACTGTATGATAAAAGTTGACTATTTCATAAAAAAAGAAATAAAAAAAAATTCTACGTCAAAATTGGTGGCTGTTTGCTTAAAAAAATGCGGGGTGAAATGTAATATTTTAGTTTCTACTGATTTCAATTTAGAAATTTCATCTAAAACGTCCGATAATCTAATCCGAGTAACAAAAAAAACGCTTTTGGAATCACCAAAATATATATTTGATAAATATAAATTAAAGAACACTTACATATATAGTTTTTTATGCGTCGATTATATTTTTAGGAATATTTATTGCATTTGTAATTGTAACATCCTGTATATGTGAAAAATGTGTTGTATCAAAAAACAAGAAGACTGTTTCGAAATCTACCGACAAATTTCCCTGTATCCCGGCAGACCACTATGTATGTAGATTATGTAGAACTTACTTTCATGTTTTCTCGACGTTTCATGACCCCTAGAATACGAAAAAGTAGGTCTTCCGTTTCCGTCTGTCCGAATTTTTATGTGACAGATTATCTCCGTAACTACTGGACGATTGTCAAATTTTGTATGTATATTAGGAATATCATGTATATGGTGGTAAAAAGCCAACCAAAATGTGTCTGCTCATCTCTACCAACAATGAAATAACGCTATCTCCAAATTTTAAAACAGTCAAATGTCGTTTAAATTTTATCAAATATAATACTCCGCCATTTGCGATTTATGACTCCGTGTTTAGTTTTTACCTCTGGCATCCAGATTAAAAAAAAAATCAAAAACCATATACAATTAAATTACAATTGAATTTTTATTCTAGATATTGAGATTTTTGAAAAAAAAAAAATTGGAGATGTAACAATTCTTCGATTCTCAATTTCTCAATTACTCGACTTTCGATTTCACTATTTTTTGATATTTCAGTTTTGAAATTTTTAGTTTCTTTATTCCTCATGTTTAGATTTTTCAATTTTTCGATTTTGTAATTTTTCAATATCTTAATTTTCAGTTTTTCGATTCTTCAAATTTTCGATTTCCCGAGTTTTTCATTTTTCGATTTTTCAGTTTTTAAAATATTTCGATTATCCGATTGTTCAATTTTTCGATTTTTTCTTTTCTCAATTTCTCGATTAATCAATTTTTTGAATTTTGACTTCAATTTTGATTTTTCGACTATTCAATGTTTCAGTTTGTCGACTTTTCGATTTTTGAATGTTTCAATTTCTTTAATTTTCGATTTCAATTTTTGATATTTTAATTTTCAGTTTTTAAAATTTAAGGTTTGTCGAGTTCTCGATGTTTCATTTCTTCGATATTATTTTAGATTTTTCGATTTCTAGATGTTTAATTTTTTCAATTTTTCAAGGGTTCAATTTCTCGGTTTTCCGATTTTTCTACTTTTCGGCTTCTCGATATTTCGAATTATCAATTTTTCGATGTTCCATTTTATGAGTTATTCGATTTCCCAATTTTTCATCATCACAATTTTGGAATTGTTTAATTTCTCGATTTTTCAGTTTTTCGATTCTTCAATTTTTAAATTTTTCGATTTTTCTTTAGCTTTTAGATTTTTAATTCCTCGACTTTTTTGATGTTTCGATGTCTCGATTTCTCGAGTTTTTGATTTTTCAGTTTTTAAATTTTACATTTTTCAGTTTTTTTTTTTATTCTATTTTTAAAATTTTGGACTTTTCGTTTCCTCAATTTTCCAATTTTTTGATGTTTCGATTTCGACTTCTCGGTTTTAGACTTTTCGGTGTTTGAAGTTTTCGATTTTTTCAATTTTTCAGTTCTTAAATTTTTCAACTTTAGATCTTTAAATTTTCGATTTTGTGTTATTTCAATTTCTGTTTTTCGTTTTTTCGGCTTTTCGATTTTCCGATGTTTCATTTTTTTCATTTTGTTATGGTTTCGATTTTTTGATTTCTCCGTTTCTGATTTTTTGACTTTTCGGCGTTTCGATTTTTCGAATTATCAATTTTTCGATGTTCCGATGTATCAATGATTCGATTTCCCTATTTTTTGGCGTTTCAGTTGTGGAAATGTTTTAAATTCTCAAATTTTCGATTATGTATTTAAATTTTGAATTTTTCGATTTTTCGATTTTTCGGCTTTTCAGTCTTTTAATTTTAGATTTTTCTATTCCCCGATTTTTTGATGTTTCGATTTCTCGATTTTTCAGTTCTTCGATATTTTTTAATTTTTAGAATTGTCAATTTTTAAATTTTACATTTTTCAGTTTTTGATTCGATTTTTAAAATTTTGGAAACACTAAAATGTGCAAAATATGAGTTTTTCCTTGTGATTTATCATTCCATTAATATTTTTTGGATTTGCCTATACAGGATGACTTAAAAAATTATTAAATTATTTTATTGATTAAATCAGGAACTGGAAGACCGAATGCTTTGAAATCTTGGAGATATTTTAAATTTATCATAAGCATGGTATATTTTTGATCAGAATACATTTGCTCATCCCCCTAAAAAATTGATGACGTCACCTGAAACTATTGCTGAATATGTCCTATCTTAAATGTGCAAAATATGATGAGTCTATACTTGTGATTTATAATTAGTAGTTTTTAAATTTGTTTATACAGGGTGTCTCAGAAAAAAACTAATGACTGAGTTGTTAAAAAATAAATATCCAATCAGATTTAGGAATTTAACTCGTTATTATGGAAATATGCAATTTAACACCTTTTACATTTAATAGGGGCAAAATCAGTCTTATCTTAGCAAGTGGTAGTCCCACCCACCCGCCCCCTATTTTTTCAGAGGGTATGGCATTTGCCAAAATCAGTCTTATCTTAGCAAGTACTAGCTACGCCCACCCGCCCTATATTTTCTCAGAGGGTATGGCGTTTGCCAAAATCAGACTTCTCTGAGCAAGTGCTAGCTCCGCCCACCCCCCGCTATTTTCTCAGAGGATGTCATTTGCCAAAATAAGACTTATCTTAGCAAATACTCTCTGAGAAAATAAAGGGTGGGTGGGCGGGGCTAGTATTTGCTAACATAAGTCTTATTTTGGCAAATGACATATCGTCTGAGAAAATAGGGGGCGGGTGGACGGGGCTAGTACTTGGTAAGATAAGACTGATTTTGGCAAATTACATATCCTCTGGGAAAATAGGGGGCGGGTGGATGGGCCTAGTATTTGTTAAAATAAAACCGATTTTGCCCACATTAATCTTGTAAAAACTTGTGAAATTTAAAGGTGTTAAATCGCAATTTCCATAATAACGAGTTAAATTCCTAAATCTACCCGAAATGTGCAAAATATGATGAGTTTTTACTTGTGATTTATCATTGCATTCATATTTTTTAGTTGTTTATACAGGTGGCTCAAAAAAATTAATGAATGTGTCAGTTTATTTTATTGATTAAATCAGGAACGGCTCACTCGATTTTCCCAGAATATTTTGGAAATACAATACTGTTTTTTTAGTGTTACACTGCACCAATCCAAGTTGACATACGTGTCCTTGCAAAAATATTGATGACGTCATCATAAAATTCTGTAAACTCTAAAATGCTGGATATATTTCACTGTAGTTTAGGTGCGAGGGAAGTTCTGTCGAAACAGCCTTGGACCAATTTTTTGGGGTTTTGATTGCTCGATTTTGCGGTTTCTCAAGTTTTCGATTTTTAAAATTTTCAATTTTTCAGTTATTCGATTTTTTAAATTTTTTGATTTCTCAATTCCTCGATCCATCGATATTCCATGCTCTTATTTAAGGGTGGCGTCTGGTTCGGTTTCGCCCAATACTAAATACATTGAAAACATCGTCGTAGTTTCTGGAATTGCATTTTTAAAATGCTGAAATCTCCAACCAAGTCAGAATCTAAGTAAACCTGCATTCTGCTACCGCATCACAGCTCCCGATTTCTCGTTTCAATAGATTTTGACTTTTCGCGAGTTATTTACCTCAGTCGTGGATTTTTTAATATTATAAATGGTATCAAAAGAAAGCTGACACTTTTCCCCAGGGGACCTCCTATCTCAGAATGCAAAAAACTTCAGCACTTCGTCAAAAAATGCATCAATGTGCCGGTTAAAATGTGATGTAAAAGTTGTTCAACGTTATAATTTCTTTTTGTAAAAACTGCATACTAGATATGAATATAAATATGGAGGTCCCCTGGACTGAAGTTTGTTAATTCGAAATATAATTTTTTTAAAGCGATATATCTCATATTTTTAAAATGCAACTCCGGAAACCGCGACGATGTTTTCAATGTATTTAGTATAGGGCTAAACCGAACCAGACGCCAGCCTTAATATGTACACACATAGTTTTTTATGCGTCTATTATATTTTTAGGAATATTTATTGCATTTGTAATTGTAACATCCTGTACATGTGCAAAATGTGTTGTATCAAAAAAAAAGGTAGACTGTTTCGCGATCTACCGGGAAATTTCCCTGTGCCCCGGCGGCACAATCCGACACTGGTGGACATAAGTGTAATGTACTAGCTTTGAAAAAGAGATAGAGAATGACAGTTGACAGAATATATAAGTTAGAAAAATGAGCTCGTGTAATTAGAGAAACTAACAATATTACCTACCCCAAACAAGACATCACATTTTGGCGACGAGAATTAAAAGAACTCAGAAGAAGACCAACGAAGCGAAAAACAACGAACACGCGGAACAGACAACAGGAGAAACACATAACCTCAACACAACACGTGGTTCGCAACAAACGAATCGAGGAAAAGATAACAGAACATGGACACACACTCAACACCAGTACCTCCATTTCATATAGCAGAAGACCCCAATAACGTTGGCTCAAGGTGGGAAAAGTGGCTCAACCGTTTTGACAACTATCTCATAGCAGCAGGCATCGATAATGAAGACCGAAAGAAAGCCATGCTTCTCCACTACGCAGGCGAAGAAGTTCATGATTTATATTTGTCACTTCCTGAACTACCAGCAAACACAGCACAACCCAATGAATCACCTTATCTAACAGCTAAACGAAAGCTCAAACAATATTTCACCCCTAGAGTCAACAAAGAATTTGAAATGTTTAATTTTAGGCAAGCCAGACAGAGCGAGAATGAAACAATTGATCAGTTTTACGCAAAGTTACTGAAACTATCCAAGACTTGCACGTTTGAGAACCCAAATGAAGAAATCAAATTTCAAATCATCATGAACACGAAGTACACAGAACTACGTCGATATGGACTCACTGAACAACCCAATCTCGATGATCTATTGAGCAGAGCACGTACAATCGAGTGCACAGCTAATCAACTGAAGGTCATTGAAGACAAGATTGTCATGAACACAAGCACAGAAGAATGTAGCTACTTAAACAAACAAACGCAACACAGAACCGCACCAGCCAACAGTGGTACGAGCAAGAACAATTGCAAAAATTGTGGAGGCAAATGGCATCCAAATGGGAGGAGAGCTTGTCCTGCTCTAAATGTAATTTGTCGAAGTTGTGGCAAGAAAGGACACTACGCCCGAGTCTGCATGTCCACCACATCAACACAACAGCAACAAGCACAATCACGAGCAAACCCCCAGCACAACAACCATGGCACAAATACTAGCATAAACAAGAAACATAATGGAGAGAGGAAGAACAGAGCACAAATTCGCTTTAATGAGCTTAATATGGAGCCAGAGTCAACTAATTCTGAGACATCTTTCAAAACAACAATTCGTCCAAACGACAGAACAGCCATGAAATGCCCTCAGGTACATGTTAAGTTGAATGGGAAAGTAATCAATTTCATTGTAGATACTGGTTCATCTGTTAATCTGATAAGCTCAAGCACATTTAAACAATTTCATCAGCAGTCACTACAACCAGATTCCTCATCGATTCTCCCGTACAACTGTCAACAACAGTTAGAAGTAGTTGGAAAATTCAAAGGTCTATTCCATTATAACAACCACCAAACGCGAGCAGATGTATTTGTGATAAAAGGCAACAGTGAATCATTATTGAGCTATGATACAGCAAACAAATTGCAGCTGATACAACTATCTATGATGATATATCAACCTATGGACATGAACTATATCAAAAACAAGCATCCTAATTTGTGTAATGGCATAGGTTGTCTCAAGAACCAAACTGTCAAGCTACACATTGATGAGTCAATTCCTCCAGTAGCAAATAAACACAGGAGAATTCCAATAAATCTTCGTGAAGCAGTTGAACAAGAGATAACAAGACTGATGAAACAAAACATCATTGAAAAAGCAACAGGACCAACTCCCTGGGTTTCACCAATAGTTGTAGTTCCTAAACATCACGATCCTAACTCTATCAGAATTTGTGTAGACATGAGAGAGGCTAACAAAGCCATACTTAGAGAAAGGCATCCAACACCAACTATTGAAGAAATATTTGCCCAGTTAAATGGCGCAACAGTCTTCTCAAAGATTGATTTGAAAGATGGCTACCACCAACTAACATTAGAAGAATCTTCACGGTATATAACAGTTTTTTCAACACATATTGGTTTGTATCAATATAAACGACTGAGTTTTGGGATAAATTCCGCTGCAGAGATTTTTCAAAACACAATAAGACAACTGTTAAACCAAATAGATGGTGTGTTAAACATCAGCGATGATATACTAATCTTTGGAACAACTCAACAAGACCATGATAAGACTCTCAAGCAAGTAATAGAACGTTTGGATAACCATAATTTGACAATCAACACAAAGAAATGCATTTTTAACACAAACAAAATCGATCTCTTTGGATATGTATTCTCTAGCAAAGGCATTTACCCTGATCCAGACAAAGTCAAGTCTGTCTCTAACCTAGAACCGCCCAGAAATGTACATGAACTAAGAAGCTTCCTAGGAACGTTGAATTATGTTGGAAAGTTCCTGCCTCACTTAGCAACAAATACTGCAATATTACGTGAGCTGATTACAAAAGATGCTCAATGGGACTGGACTGAAAAGCATCACAGCGCTTTTAATGATCTTAAGAAACAACTAGAATCAGCACGAAACCTCGCCTATTTTGACCAACAGAAAAAGACGCACCTCTATGTAGACGCTGGTCCCATAGGACTTGGAGCGATCCTTTCGCAAGAACTTAATAACAAAACAGAAGTTATTTCGTACGCTAGCAGAACATTAACTTTGACCGAACAGAAATACAGTCAAATAGAGAAAGAAACATTAGCAGCAACATGGGCCATACATCACTTCAGAATATACCTGTTAGGAGGTCACTTTGTGTTACACACAGACCACAAACCCTTGGTCTCAATCCTACAGAACCCTCGATCAGCTCCAAACGCACGCATTGAACGACTTTGTTTGAAACTTCAGCCTTATAAATTTACAGTTCAATACCAAAGAGGCATAACAAATCCGTCTGATTATTTATCTCGTCATCCAACACACAGCCCACCAGAAGCATATGATAAAAGTGAAGAATACGTAGCTTTTGTAACCAATCATTCACTACCAAACACAATTTCACTTGAAGAAATCGAAAATGCAATGAAAGATGATTTTCAGTTGCAGCTACTGAAAAAGGCCTTGTTAGAAGATGATTCCTTGTTTTGGAAGAAACGAGAACTGCAAACATTCAAGCAAATCAAACAAGAGCTCACTGTATATGGTAATATTATTCTCAAAGGCAGTCAAATCGTAATTCCCAGCAAACTGCAGAAAAACATTATCAGATTGGCACATAAAGGTCATCAAGGTCTCGTTAAAACCAAACAACTGGTAAGAACTAAGGTGTGGTTTCCCAACATCAACAAAATGGTAGAAGAAGTAGTGAAGTCATGCACAGCATGTCAAGCAGTAACACCCTACAACCAGCGAAATCCGATTCAAACATACCCGACATCCACTCACCCGCTTGAATGTCTAGATGTAGATTACGCCGGACCATTTCCAGATGGAAAATATTATTTCATAATGGTGGATGATTTCTCAAAGTTTCCATTCGTCAAAAAAGTACCATCGACCAATTTCAAACAGCTGAAGCCCGTACTTGACGAGACATTTGCACTATTTGGCCTACCAAAAGAACTTAAATCCGATAATGGACCACCCTTTAATGGATATGAATTGAAAGAATATCTTTCAAGCCTTAACATCAAGCATCATTTAATAACACCACGTTGGCCAGAAGCAAATGGTAGAACTGAGAGATTCGTGAAAACGTTCAAGAAAGCCCTCTTGTGCGCAACGATCAACAGTAACAATCCAGACGCAGAAATTCAAGAATTTTTAATCAATTACCGAAGCACCCCTCATTCAACAACAAACTGCCCACCATATCAAATTATGTTCAACAGAGAAATCAACAACTTCTTACCCACTCTCAAAAACAAGACGTTTCATGAATACAATCCCCAAACGGACATCGACAACAGAAGAAAACAAAACGAACGCGCCAATCGTAAAAGAAGGACATTTGAACATCGCTTACAACTTGGACAAAAAGTTCTTTGCAAACAACAAAAGAAGAATTCGCTGACTCCACTCTTTGATCCAGATCCATACACGATCACTAGAATCACCGGTTCTCAAATTGAAGCTCGACGAGGAGAAAAGGTGATTGTCAGAAATTCATCATTCTTCAAGCTACACCACTCAGCACAGAGTCCAAGGCCAGAGTATCACCCCTCAACAAGTTTGGCACCCAGTCGATCTTCCCAATCTGAACAAACGCGAACACCGTTCCCCACAACACCTCCAAGGTCGACAGCTCCAGCCACGACACCCCTTAGACAAGACAACACGGAAGACAAAGTAAACAGTCCCCCAAATCAACGAGTCGAGACGCCCACTGGACGACGTCCCCAGCGAGACAGAAAACCACCGTCGAAGCTCCGGGACTATCTTGTAGAACTCTAATGGCATGTGCGTCATATGAGTTATTAAGTTTAACTTTTATTTTGTATTTGGTATGTGTTCTTTAATTTTCAGTAAGGGAGGAAATGTAATGTACTAGCTTTGAAAAAGAGATAGAGAATGACAGTTGACAGAATATATAAGTTAGAAAAATGAGCTCGTGTAATTAGAGAAACTAACAATATTACCTACCCCAAACAAGACATCACAATAAGGAATGACTGTTTTACGTAATTCGATGGACCACTATGTATGTTATTATGTAGAACTTGAATATTTTATTAAATAACCCGCATATGAGATGAGAACAAAGGAGATCCACACAACACAATAGTTCAAATCGCTGGTGAATAAAACGCACATTATGGGGAATGAAGGTAAAATTGAGTTTAGCAAGCAACTCTGTACTGTCGTTATTATTAATTCAATTAAACCACTAACTAACTAATAATAGTTTGTCTAGTTTCCAAAGACACAAAATTAAATCTGTTTATTAGTTTGAGTAATCACATTCTCTTTCCAGAAAGGCTAGGTCTAAACAATGAACATTACGAACATAGACATCGTGACCTGATTATGGATACCAGGATCATCTTTTTTTTATGAATCCCGATTTATTATGAATCCTATATCTAATGGCGAGTAAAATACACACCCTCAACATGGTTAAAAAATATTAAGGACGCGCTGCTCGCTTAGGCTGAATTTTAAAACGGTTGACATTGGTTATATTTCCAACTGGCGCAAAATTCAATCTCTTAATTTTCATTCAAACAATTTTGCAAACATATTTTTAGTATGATGCTTAAATTTTGTAAAATAGCTATATTAAATGAAATGTCGGCTTAGAAAAGTGCACTTTGTTAAAATTTAAACCGAAAATGTCTTCAACACGTTAAACTTAAAATAATATTAGAAAGATAGAGTAAGAACTTACCATGCAAAAACTACCTTCTTTCAGAAAGGTTTTGACACAGTGGTAATTTTTGATTGTATTTGTAATATCTGCGTTATCTGTGCCATTAGAAATTAAGTTTTATTTAAATAAATGGTGTCCTCTCCTTCGATAATTTCGCTTTTCCCTGCCTCCAATTTGATTACGTCACATAAGTTATTTTGTTTAATGATTCAGATTAATACAGACGAAGTATAGAATGTCGGCTAAATTTGTTAACTGCGCCAAACTGTAAAAACAAAAGACTGAATCGAGTTCGTGAAATTCGCCGATATATTAAATTAGTAATACACAAAAAAAGAAAAATTAATCACGAAGGGTACATGACTACAAAAGCCGCTATATAAAAATTATAGACCTAGTAGTGTAACTGCTAAAGTTTACTGACTAGTAGGCATCAGAGCTGCTAGCAAGATGAATGAAAAGAAAAAAAAGCAAATACAGTGAGACTTAGGCGATGCGGAAAAATTGAGAAAATTTTGATAACTTGAATTCTTGAATGCACAAAATTTGGGGTTTGAACAAGACAACTGAAAATGTGAGATAGTCAGTGTCACAAGCGTCATTCCTAGGAAACCTATTAATAATCTACGAAGAATGATTAATAACTTAATATAATAATAATGTATTCAGATCATCAAATGTATGGTTTTGATGGATGCTGCACGTACAATCAGCTACGTAATGCCTCATAAATTACAATATTTATTCATGTACCGACATTGCTACCTTACAAAACCTACACATACATATACAATTATACATATTATGATTTATAAAATTATTCTTAATATTAGATTAAAAGATTAATCTACATCCAAAGCATGTCTCATCTATAGTATTGCTGGCTGCCTGTCCACTGGGGCGGAGGCGCCGTACTATAATCGTACTGCGCAGCCCTCCCCTGCGGCGCCGCCTGCCCCCCATACTGTCCCGCAGCCCCCGCCCCACTACTGTAACTGTAGCTTTGCGCTGGGCTGTAAGCAGGAGGTGCGGCGTAATATTGTGGTTGTTGTGGAGGCGGTATGTGCATTGGGGGCAACCCTTGATTATAAGTAGCAGTCTGCTGGTAATTATAGTAACTATGTTGTGTAGCGCTCGTTTCGTGCACTGTCGGTGCCGAATCTTGAATAGGCACCGTGATCAAGTTAGTCCTAACTCCAGAACTTTGTATTGAAGAAGGGCGTTGTCTCACATTTGATGAAATCGAGATGTTTGATCTTGGATCGTTGGTTTTCGTACGGACAGACACTCTTTCAGGTTCCACCGGTACTTCGATGGGCTGGATCGTGTTCGAGACGTGGCGGTGGTTAATGTGGGCTTGCAGATCACGTTGGGATAAGTAAGTACGGCGACAACCGGAGGAGCCGTAGCGGGTGCCTCCGTGAGTACACATGAACACTGTTCCTAGACCAGTTTGTTCAACTCTGGACACTTTATCAAGGCAACGTGGACACTTGCTCTGCTCTTGCTTGCCACAAGATAAACAGAAAACGTGTTTACACGGAATCTACAAGCAACAATTGTGGTACATTGTTTCGTACGTTTAAAAAATTACCATTCGTCCATAGATTAAAATCGGTTTCAGACACTTATCACAGCAATGAATCATGGGATTTAGAACCTTCTCTCCGATCAAGTTCACCTTGTGGGACCAATCCAGGCGCAACATCGGTTCTGGGGGTCCTCGGTTGATTGTTGTAAATGTGGGTGCTTCTAGTTGCGAAATGTCCGCTTCCAAATCAACTAAAACGTTCAATTGTTATTCAAGGCTGACTCTAATTAAATTAAACATACTTTTAGGTGCCACATTTTCACTTGATTCATTTTCAGCTTGTGGCGTTTCTTCTGAGGATTCTTGTAGTTGAGAGTTTTCGACCTCTTCGTCGCTTTCTATCACTTTGATGGCTTTCTTGCCACGACCGCGACCTCGGCCTCTTCCGCGACCTCTGCCTCTACCGCCACGACCGCGGCCGCGGCCCCGCTTTGGGGCCCCATCATCCATCTAAACTCAACAGAGGGAAGTAAGCAAACAACATACGCACCAACTTTCTACTTATGTTAAAATTACAGCTTTTCGCTATACCTTTTCTATTTACTTCGCAAATGACATACGACAAGCGTCCATGCTTTGAGGTTAGATTTCGACCATTTCGACCACGCAGGGCCGCCAATGTTCCCCGAAGTGACACTTCTGATGTTACTTTACGAATTTACAACTCAAACAACAGCATTCAGGTCAATAATGCCAAAATTTTCGTCGATAATCATTAATACTTTACGTTTAAGACACTTCACATGTCATTTTTTTTTATTTAAACTCTTTTGGATAATTAGAAAATAGGGGAATTTTTAGGTGTTGTGGCAGCCTGTTTTTGAAAAACCCGCCAGTGAGGTTATGTTCAATCATTTAATTTCACTTGAAAATTGCATTTAAAATGGAAGAAGTGGCAGAAGTAGATGTGGAAGATGTCGAAAATGAAAAGTCACAATCTACCGAAACGCTAGAAGTGGTGGAAGCTTTAGCATCAAACGAAAAACCGAAGTTTGTTAGATTACCATTAACCCGAATCAAGCACATCATGAAAATGGATCCCGACTGTAGTTTAATTAGCCAAGATGCCTTATTCCTTGTCACAAAGTCCACGGTAGTACAACAACCCTTTTCAATTACGTTTTTGCATTTTTCTTTATAGGAATTATTCTTAGAATATCTTGCGAAAGAATCTGCCAAATTTATGGGAATGGGGAAGAGAAAGACCGTCCAGAAGCGCGACGTGGATGCCGCTATTGATAACGTGCCTAGTTTGTGTTTTCTTGACGGTGCCTTAGAATAGTGATTATAATAAAAGACTTTTTACTGACAATATTTAATGGATGCTGAATGGAAGGTGAGTCTCGGTATATCATTTGTTATAGTGGCGCTTTCTCCCTCACAGTCTTGCTGCGCGTACAAAGTGACACAATTGTCATGTACTTTAATGGATGACACTTGAATAGGGACATCAAAGTTGTCACACACCCCAGCATTATAATCCAAAATCTTTTCTGGTATCCCTTCATATTGTGGTTGATTGAATAAAACAACACGGTGTTTCGGTTTCGCCGCGCTTATTAAGCACACACCCATCAAAAACACCCGCCACATTGTGCAGCTAAAACCCGCCACCAAAAAATCAATCTCCATATCCAGGCAACTACTTGGCTCAGTGCCAGTAAAAGACACCCCTCTTGTAAACAGATTTATTCTCTTTAAGCGCATTGACTTTATAAATTTAATAGCACATATTCATAATAGCGAAATAAAATAACACAACTCGTACATCTAGTGAATGGATCACTTTGCCTTTTTATTCCTACGTTTTGTCCCTTGTTGCATACAATCCGTTTGGCCGTACAACGTATTAAGTAAATTCTCGAGATCCGGTGGTTTTTCGTTTCGAAGAGATCCACTGTGCCTACGAGGTTGACTATGTTGTTTACCTAAAGCGATACGATATTGTACTTGATGGGAGTCGGGTCTGAGGTGTTTCAGACTGTCTTTTTGACAACCGGCCCATTCCGTTATATCATACACGTTTCCCTCCATGCAAGCGTAATAGTGCCACAAGAAACCGAAACAACGGGCCTCCGCCCAGATGTCGCCTTCTCGCGCCGAGTGGTGGATTTTGCAAGAAGAACAGTTCCTCGCGGCGTAACAAGGCCTATCTACTTTGATCCTTTTGTGGCGTAAACCGCAAGCGCTACACCGGATCGTGTTGGCGGCGGCTTCCACCTTCTGTTGCAACTGGGCCAGGAGTTCGGTCAGTTCGCTCCAGGCTTGCTCAACCTGGACAGATTCGACCACACCTGGAACATCACGTGAATTATTTTGTTTACAATTAAAATAAATTGCGTTATTTGACGAATTAAATCGTATTTTTACTTCCCGAGTGTACTACTTTTACGTTTTCTCTGACCCCTTCAGTACAAAAAAAGTAGTCTCCCGTTTCCGTCTGTCTGTTTGTCTGTCTGTATCGATTTTTATTAGACACGTAATCTGCGAAACTGCTCACCCTATTGTTGTCAAATTTTGTATGTATGTTAGAAATATTATGTAGATGGTTAAATGCTAGCCAAAATTTGGCTAATCATCCCCACCAACAATTTGATGACGTCATCTCAATGAACCGTATTTTAAAATGGGTTGAATATTATACAAAAATATACTCCTATACTTGCAAATTTTCGCAAAAACAATTGCACGGAATAATTACGTTATATTACTACCACGAGACATTGGGTCATGGGTTCGATGCCTAACTTAACACCATCCTTTTTTTTCTTCCACTGGTAATGCGCTGGGACAAATTTTCTTTTGTGCTGTGACTATTATTATCCATGCTGATGGCGTCATCACAAATTTTTTGTTGGACAAATTAAAAGCGAGGCAGTTACCCCATTTTCTCGAGGATGTGAGAAAACACACGTCTTTATATAATATGTAATGATAAAATACGAATTATAATGTTCATAACATTTTGTTCGATGGTGGTTTAATTAATAATTTTTAGTCTTCTGTTTTGAGAAGACAAACTCATTCAAAACAATAGAGAAATATTTTGCAATTACGCTCCGCCCCTCGGTCTAACAACAAATGAAAAATTCATAACAATTGAGATCGGGGCGGGTGGGTGGGGCTTAATTTTTGTTTTTTTTTTTTTAATATATAGAATTTTCTTTCAACAACAGGGTAGTTAAACATGTTTTCAGTTTCTTGCTGGGAAAAGAAGACTTCGCATATTAAGAAAAAATGAACCAAATATAAGCCCCGCCCACCCACCCCTTCTCAATTGTGACGAATATTTTGTTCATCGTGAGCTGAAGGGCGGAGGTTAATTGCAGAATCCTCATTTCTCTACAAGAAATTACCATATGAAATATGTTTTTAAAAGGGTAAAATTTTCTAGAGAAATAATATGTTACAATTAAACTCCGTCCCTCGTCTGTTAGAATGAAAAACCCATCACAACTGAGATTAATTTTTGTTTTTTTTTCTTTATATACACAGTTGTTCTTTCAACAATTTTTTGCCACAAAGAACAAGAGATATTATAACAAAAAACATAAAGTCAATCTGTTATTCAATAATTTTGGACTGTACTCCGAATATAAGTCACATAGAATGTCTTGTACTTTCTCGTTTTTCTCGAAAAATTGAAGAAATGGAAAACTGAAAAATCTAAAAACTGAAACGTCCAAAAGTCGGAAAATTGGAAAAGTGGAAAATTTAAGACTGAAAACTCGAAGAGACATGGTAAAATTAAAGGGAAAAAAAAAAACGAAAAATTGAAAAACTGACGAAACGAAAAATTGAAAAAAAGTGAAATTGAAAAAACAAAAAATTATAAAATCAGAACATTACATTTTGTTCGATTGTGGTTTAATTAATAATTTTAGTCTTCTGTTTTGAGAAGACAAACTCATTCAAATCAATAGAGAAATATGTATTTTGCAATTACGCTCCGCCCCTCGGTCTAACAACAAATGAAAAATTCATAACAGTTGAGATCGGGGCGGGTAGGTGGGGCTTAATTTTTTTTTTTTTTAATATATAGAATTTTCTTTCAACAACAGGGTAGTTAAACATGTTTTCAGTTTCTTGTTGGGAAAAGAAGACTTCGCATATTAAGAAAAAATGGACAAAATATAAGCCCCGCCCACCCACCCCTTCTCAATTGTGACGAATATTTTGTTCATCGTGAGCTGAAGGGCGGAGGTTAATTGCAAAGTCCTCATTTCTCTACAAGAAATTACCATATGAAATATGTTTTTAAAAGGGTAGAATTTTCTAGAGAAATAATACGTTACAATTAAACCCCGCCTCTCATCACAATTGAGATCGGGGCGGGTGGGCGGGGCTTAATTTTTGTTATTTCTTTCTTTATGTACACAGTTTTCTTTCAACAATTTTTTGCCGCAAAGAACAAGAGATATAATAAAAAACGTAAAATCAATCTATTATTAAATCATTTTGGCCTGTACTCCTAATATAAGTCACGTAGAATGTCTTGTACTTTCTCGTTTTCTTCGAAAAATTGAACAAATGAAAAACTGAAAATTCCAAAAACTGAAACATCCGAAAGTTGGAAAATCGGAAAACTGAAAACTCGAAGAGACATCGTAGAATTAAAGGAAAAATAACGAAAAATTGAAAAATTGCAAATTGAAAAACTGACGAAACGAAAAATTGAAAATAAGTGGAATTGAAAAAGCACAAAATTATGAAATCCAAATATAACATTTTGTTCGATTGTGGTTTAATTAATAATTTTAGTCTTCTGTTTTGAGAAGACAAACTCATTCAAATCAATAGAGAAATATGTATTTTGCAATTACGCTCCGTCCCTCGGTCTAACAACAAATGAAAAATTCATTACAATTGAGATCGCGGCGGGTGGGTGGGGCTTAATCTTTGTTGTTTTTTCTAATATCTATAATTTTATTTCAACAACGGGATAGTTAAACATGTCTTCAGTTTTTTGTTGGGAAAAGAAGACTTTGTATATTAAGCAAAAATGGACAAAAATTAGCCCCGCCCACCCACCCCTTCTCAATTGTTGATAAATATTTTATTCATCGTTAGCTGAAGGTCGGAGTTTAGTTGGAGAATCCTCATTTCTCTACAAGAAATTACCCTATGAAATATGTTTTTAAAAGGATAGAATTTTTTTGAGAAATATTGATGTTACATTTAAACTCCGTCCCTCGTCTGATTAGAATGAAAAACTCATTACAATTGAGATTAATTTTTGTTTTTTTTTTCTTTTTTTCTTTATATACACAGTTGTCTCTTTCAACAATTTTTTGCCACAAAGAACAAGAGATATTATAACAAAAAACATAAAGTCAACCTATTATTCAATAATTTTGGACTGTACTAATGTAAGTCACGTAAAATAACTTGTACTTCCTCGTTATTCTCGAAAAATTGAAGAAATGAAAAACTGAAAAATCTAAAAATTGAAAACTCGTGAAATTTCAAATCGGAAAACTGCAAAATCTAAAAATTAAAACGTCCAAAAGCTGGAAAATCGGAAAACTGGAAAATTTAAAACTGAATACTCGAGACATCGTAAAATTAAAGAAAGAAAAACCGAAAAATTGAACAATTGCAAATTGAAAAACTGACGAAACGAATAATTGAAAAAAAGTGAAATTGAAAAAACAAAAAATTATAAAATCGGAACATTACATTTTGTTCGATTGTGGTTTAATTAATAATTTTAGTCTTCTGTTTTGTGAAGTGAAACTTATTCAAATCAATAGAGAAATATGTATTTTGCAATTATGCTCCGCCCCTCAGTCTAACAACGAATGAAAAATTTATCACAATTGAGATCGGGGCGGGTGGGTGGGGCTTAATCTTTGTTTTTTTTTAATATATAGAGTTTTCTTTCAACAACAGGATAATTAAACCAATTGTCAGTTTCTTATTGGGAAAAGAATACTTCATATATTAAAAAAAATGGATCAAATATAAGCCCCGCCCACCCACCCGTTCTCAATTGTGATGAATGCTTTATTCATCGTGAGATGAAGGGCGGAGTTTAGTTGCAAAATCCTCGTTTCGCTACAAGAAATTACCATATGAAATATGTTTGTAAAAGGGTAGAATTTTCTAGAGAAATAATTGTTACAATTAAACTCCGCCTCTCGTCTGATTAGGAATGAGAAACTCATCACAGCTGAGATTGGGGCGGGTGGGCGGGGCTTAATTTTTTTTCTTTGTATTCACAGTTTTCTTTGAACAATTTTTTGCCGCAAAGAACAAAAGATATTATAATAAAAAACATAAAGTCAACCTATTATTCAATAATTTTGGACTTTATAGGTAGAATAACTTGTACTTTCTCCTTTTTCTCCAAAAATTGAAGAAATGAAAAGCTGAAAAATCTAGAAATTCAAAACGCGTGAAATCTCAAATCGAAAAACTGCAAAATCTAAAAATTGAAACGTCCAAAAGCTGGAAAATCGGAAAACTGGAAAATTTAAAACTGAATACTCGAAGAGACATCGTAAAATTAAAGAAAAAAAAAAACGAAAAATTGCAAATTGAAAAAACAAAAAATTATAAAATCGGAACATTGAAAAATTGTAAAAATAAAGAAAATAAAAAACTGAAATGAAAAATTGCAAAATATAGAAATTGAATTGAAAAGTTGAAAAATTAAAAATTAAATTTAAACTTCAAAACTCGAAAAAATGCACAAAAAATTAAACATTTAAAAAAAATTCAATTTACGCCACTGGTTTTTCCTTTATATGTAGAGGTTATCAGAAAACAAAAATCGCAAAAAATGATAATTTTTCAGAGAAGTGGTATTTATTTGGCTGCCCTTCAGGGGCGCGGGAAGTTCTGTTGAAATAACCAATTTTTTTAATGGAAAATGACGACTTAATCGTTTGCTTCATAATAAATTTTAAAAAATACGCGCAAGACGGATAATAGAAGTTTATTATTTATGATGGGATGCAGAGCCAAGTTTTAAAAATACAATCATAAATATACAGTTTTTTCGTTTTCGTTCCACTTTGTGATCCACAAATAATTGATCTAATTTCAAATGTGCATAATCATTCATTTTATCTATGGAATTATTTCTATTAATTAACTCTGCTTTTTATAGCAAGGATCAAAGATTATCTGGAGGAATATTCTAAGGTTTTTAATGCAAATTATCATAGTCCACTTGACATTTTTATTGTAACAGGGTCATTCGACGGATGTCTAATTGCATGTTTTTCTGACGTTCCCCACCAAAAATTTGCGACGTCATTTCAAAATTTTGCTAGTAAATCTCGCTTCAAATTTGTTTGTTTTAGGACACCATGCTTTATCTAGTGATTACAGAACATTGACTATTCAGAAGTGAGATAACGTTATCTTTAAAAATTCCTAAATAAATATGTATTAAGAAATGTGGTGTTTGTATTTTGATAATATATTTTTTGGCATTACCCGTATTTTTTGTATAACTTATAATAACAACTTTAAACCCTCTTTTATTACCTTTATCGTAGGCAGCTCTCCTTTCCGGCTCCCCGATCATATCAAACGCGTGAACTAAAATTTTAAAGGCCTCTTCCGCCCCCGGCTGTTGGTTCTTGTCTGGATGAACCAAGAAGGCTTGTCTTTTATAATACCTCTTTATATCGTCATCTGTACAAGTCGGCGTAACTCCCAATATGCTGTACGGATCCTTCCCTTTGCACGCTAGGAGTCTTTTCATTGCTTCTTCCCCGGTGGTCGGCATGTTTATATTGTTTTGTAACCCACTGTGAATAAAACTGCGGTTATTTTCTTTAGCAGGCTTCTCAGGCTTTTTGAATTTTTCCCAAATCCACGAAAGCAGACGAATGCGTTTGGCGATGGTCACGACCGTGTCTAGGAAAAGAGCCCAGTGAATGACCAACCAAAGCCAAAAGTTCGAAGCCCTGTTAAAAATTGACGTCAGTTATGAGTGTGGAGTGTGGGATTTTCTTACATGTCGCGACTAATGTGAACGCTCAAGCTACAGATGTCTGAGATCAGATGGATGAACCAGAATAGGAACACGGTGATGATTTTCCACCAGCCTTTTAGGTACTGTTTTAGTTTTTGGCCGGCGATACCTGAGGAAAAATTTACAATTTACAAGAATATTTAATTTAATTGGATAATGGTAAAAGTAAAGTTATTAGAAACAATTGTACACACCTATCAATTCAGAGACTAAAACACATGAAAGACAGACAATTGATTCACCTAAGCTATTCATATTGAAAATTTGAATCAAATCAATAAACCTACCTAGCTAGCGATTTTCCGTTATCTTATGAATGACTCAATTGTAATATTAATTTGTTGTATTAAACCAAGAAACAATAACTTTATCAAAAATAAACAATTTATTGAATCAATAGTCCCACTTACCAAAGAAGACATGATTTTCTCTTTTCCTTGTTCGCTGATTCCTCTTCCCCACCGGTCTTTCGTTACCCCCAAAAGATTCCGAATTTTTAGGTCTACTGCTAAATTTATTGACCTTTTTTAGCCCATTTTTGTTAACGTACGTCTCATTCTTACTGCCGCTGGATTCATTCTCAGGCGACTCGCTTTTCGTAACTTTCCGAAAATTGGGCTTCTGCATCAAATTCTTGCCATTATTCATCTCCTCATTCTTTTTCTTCTTCCCATCCTCAACTTTCGCATTATTAACGGGTTCATTAATATTATCAAGCGACGCCCATTTGCGATTCAATTGCGTACTCTTATTACGCTTATCCTTGTCTCCACTTGTCTTAATAAACGTCGTTTTTTCCGTCAACGGAATATCCTTAATATCCGCATTCGTATTGCTTCTATTTAAAGAACAATTGACCTTCTGCGTCTTCTCAGTTTTCCCGTTCTTCTTGTTGTTTTCCTTCTTCTGCTTGGTTTCCTTAGTATCCAGCTTGGTCGGTTTGCTCGTAGTCGGCGGCACCGCTTTAGTCAAAACATCCGAGTAACTAGGACGCATCGGCTTCACTTCAGCCACCATTCTCGGCTTCCGGTTGTTCCTGTTGAAGTTAAACTGCTTCTCTTCGTGCGGTTGTTCCAGAATCATTTGTTCGTTAGTCTCCTTCTCCGCCAATTGTTCAAAAACACTCACATTGGGTTTGAAGGGCTCCACGTTCCCAAATGGTGAATAAGTCCCAGTGGTGTTCGGCACCCAATTCCCCACCAAATTCTCGATTAAATGCGTGTGGTTGCTGGTTTGGGGCACCGGTTCGTGCTGGCTTTGCAGCACGTGACGCTCAGCTTGATGCAAATTCGAGTTCAAAATGGTGTATTCGTTCCTGAAGACACCAGCGTCGCTATTCCCGTTCTGCATAGGCTCGTACATGTTGTACTTGAGGTTGAGAGGATCCAAGTTCTTGTTATACTCGTTGATGTCAAAGTGATGGGGCTGTTGCATGTAGCTGTACGAAGTGGCGAATTGCTGAATGGGCACATAACCCATCTGGATATCGGGAGTGGAGTGGTATGAAGGGTAGTTGTTGACGTAAGGCGGCTGGTTCCAGTTGATGGGTTCCGATGGGGGCGGGGAAAACCCCAAGGGGGCATACTGACCGTCCGCATTTTGCATTTCTGCAGTCATGTTGCCAATGATTTTTTCCACTGCTTCATTTGAACAGTTTCTGTCTTTTTCACTCATTTTTTTGAGGTTTTTGCTTGATCGACGAAGTAATTTATGAAACGTGGGCTATTCTTGTAACATTTTGGCACATAAACATATTATTCAACTCCGCCTGTCACTTTTGACAAACTGTCAAATTGTTAAGATGGCGCGAGTGCGGTGGAACAGGGGTCTGTTTTATCGACCGGGAGGTGTGACATAATGTAGAATGTTTAAAATTGAGTGGCGATTTTCGTGGAAAGGGGTTAGTTTGATGGAAAAATGGGGTAACAGAGGGTAAGAAACTTTTAGTTTTTTTATTTTCACGATGTATGAATAGTTATTTGTGGGAAAATCTTTCACAAATGTAATTTTCATCGCGAACTTGGTTACAGCTTTTTAAAGCAAACATTATACGAACATGAAACTATAAAATTGCAAAAATGCGTTTTTAGAAGTCATACAATTGACAAAAATTGATAATTTATTAAATTACCCTTTTTTAATTTCTTTTAATGCGTTACGAAAAGTTATTTGCGTCTTAATAAGTGCGCCACTCACGCCAAATATGGCAATGCTATAGTCAATGTGGTTGAAAATGTACAGAGGATGATTTTTTTTAACAATTTTTGGGGTCTCGGAAATGGCACGTATTTGAATTCATCAAATAAATTCGATTTTCGTTTTCAAAATGCGAGAAAAACAACATGGCGTCCAGACGAAGCAAGAAAATATTTCTTACTTCAAAATCAAGTAGGTTGAACACAGTGTTACCAAAATGCGTTGGTAATTTTTCATGTCCACGAAAAATGTCAATCTGTTTCAAGTGTTTTTTTGTTAAAATGTTACTTCTATGAGGAAAAGTGTTGTTTAACATTCATTGGGGTAAGATTTTTATCATTTTGCGTGATTATTTGAATGAAAAAATACTGAAACAGTGAATTTATGGCGACATTGTAGGATTAATAATAAGTTGCTTTAGTGTTCTGAATGAGTTGTTTCTAAGTTTGATAACACTTTAACACTTTTTTAACATTGATCATAACTCATTTATGAGTCTTACTTTCAGGTATGAAGTTACCTCTTGGAATATTTAACACTGAAAGATTTTCGAATTTGACAAATTTTGTTTTTTATTAATTTTTACTTCCCGAGCGTCCATTTGGCAAATGATTAATTTCATGTTTTCTGGAGATTTTCTATATAATTCCTAAAAAATGAAGAAACAGATCTTCCGTTCCTGTCTGCTGATTTTATTAGGCAGATAATCTCCGAAACTACTGGAATTAATGTTATGAGTATGACATTTTAAATGAATTTTAAGACAATTGATAACGAAAATTTAACTGATACCTGGTGTTAAAATTTTGCTAAAAAAATCCCAAAATAATATGGTTCTGTACCTACTTGTAATTTATAAATCCACTCTTTTGTTTAACCTTGGACATGTAGGTTTTTGAAAAAGAAATCAAAATTGGATAATTAAAACTAGAAATTACAAAATCGATTGTTTTGAAATTTTGCAGTTTTTAATGTTATCGCGAACATAATAAGTCGCTAATCAGATTTCATCTCTGTTCGTCTCGTCCAAAAACCTACTGACATTATCTCACAATTAAATACTGTTGTTTTTTTTGAACATGGGTATTTTACAAGTAAAAACCGAAATTTGAAAATATTGGCTTCCTAATTATATTATTTTAGACCAACATGTTAAATATAAAAGTTCTAGAGAATAAAAAAATATATATTTAAATAATTATTTATTCTTTTTGTAAAACCTTATGGTATTGAAATACATTACTCTACCACGTTATTGGGTGTTAGTTGACAAGAATAAATGTTGTTTTTCTGTACACCTATATCGCTAGTTTTGTGAGTTTACTTTATCATTTAAAGAAAAAGTACATTCGTTGCAAAAAAAATTTTTGGGAATAAAATTTCTTTCACTATTTGCCATCTCCATGATAGTTTCGCAAAACAACATTGTCCTTTCTTTCTCACCAAAAATTGGTTGGTATCTTGCATATTTATAAGATTTAAGTTTAGGCGTTATTTCCGTAAAATTTTGTGAACCGTAGCAAAATGGATCCCCAAATTTTGTCCTATTTTTCTACGCTAGTACCAGGATTATTCCATTGGCACTTGCAGGATTTGTTTACACTAGCTTTGTAGGTCTCTTTTCATTGATGATGGTTCTGGAATTTGTCGATCCGTGTAAAATGCTCCAAAAGTTCGTCAAATTTCCCGCCGTAGTACCATTGTTAACTTTCTCCTCTATTGTATAATTTGTATAATAATTTATATTGCTTGACAAGAACAAAAGCCACACAATTCAGCAATTAGTGGCAAATTAATGAACTGTCAATGAATTGTCACATTTCATGGCTATTTTTATCACAAATTGTGGATTGTCTTTTTTGAGAGTTCTAAAATTGTGGTAGCGGGTAGACATTCTTCTACAACCCCAGTAGGAGATATATCTACTTCAGGGATGCGACCCTGCCCACGCGAGCCCTGATTCTCTCCCAACTCCTATGACCGGAAGAAATCAGGTCCTAACCTAAGATCCCAAACATCTAAATTTCCTATCCTTTATCCCTTCCACTTCAGGACGTTTGGTCAAGGTGATGTTTTACGTCTGAACTCTTTTCATCTCATAAGAATAGGCTTCCTAATTCCTAGCAGCCGAGTAGAGGCTGCCAAGAATCGAAAGATAGAAATCATAGAAAGAAGAAGGTGATGAAGGAGAGTCTAAAATTTTACCAGAATATGTAAATTTCAGTGTTTTTCATGGAAGTATAATTATATAATCTGTAACAATTTACGATGGTAGTGTTAAAATGATAAACGAACATCTGTTATTTTATTCCTAACACATTTAATTTAATATCACAATGCAGTATTGAGCTTCTTGTTATTTCCTCATTTTTTGAACAAAATATTTTTTATCACGCTGTCGATCATGATAACCGATAACGTCTAAACATTTTGAAATACAAATATTTTATTTATATTTTCAATGAGATTGACATACATTTAATAATATGGTTTCCTGATAGTTTTATCTGGATTGCTGTATAGCAATATTGCTATATTCTAGTTTTGGTCGATCTAAAACGTAAAATGATAATATTACGTTATTATTATGTACACCATAAGTTTATAAAATCTTTAGTTTTTTTTGGATTTATTCTTGTTTAGGTCTAAGTTGTTGTTTTGACAACGCAATATCAATCTATTTATACCGCCTTGTAATTTTAATCAATATTTTTTGTACGTATTCCATAATATTTACAGACTTCAGATCGTCAGGATAAATAAATACCAACTTCACTACGTCATTATAAAAAATTATAAACGTCAAAGGATCTAAATTATAGATCCCTGTACCACACTGCTGTCTAATTTGTTTGAGATCTAAATCCATCGTAATCTACAACTTGCTGACGAACTGCTCTATCTCCAATTATTGTAATCGAGTCCGTCGGGCGACTCGCAACTTTTACGTTTTCTCGACCTTTCATGACCCCTAGAGCACGAAGAAATAGGTCTCCCTTTTCTGTCTGTCTATCTGTCTGTCTGTCCGACTGTCTGTCTCTCTGTCTGTCTGTCCGTCTGTCCGTCTGTTTGCCGTCACGGATTTTTATTAGACAGATAATCTCCGAAAGTACTGGGCCGATTGTTATCAAATTCTATATTAGGAATATCATGTAAATGGTAAAACCCTACCCAAAATTTGTCTAATCATCCCCACCAATGATGTGATGACGGCACTTTAAAATTGTACGTAGTAAATGGGTTTTAAATTGTATCAAATGACATAGTCTTACACATGTAGTTTATGACTTTGTGTTGAGTTTTTACACGAAACGTCCAGATTTTTGGAAAAAGTCTAAATTATAAAACATTTTGGAATTTTGATTTTGAATCTGCAAAACCGAATGCTTTTAAATCTTGCAAGTGTTTTAAGGTTATGACAGTCATGATAAATTTGTAATCAAAATGTATTTGTTCATCCCCCCTAAAAAATTGATGACGTTACCTCAAAATTTTGCTGAACGAATTCTATCTCAAATGTGCAACGTATGATGATTGATGAGTCTATACTTGGGATTTATCACTGAATTAATATTTTTTAGATTTGCTTATACAGGGTGTATTAAAAAATTAATGACGGAGTCAGTTTATTTTATTGTTTAAATCAAGAATTGCAAAACTGAACACTTTGAAATCTTGCATTCGTTTTAAAGTTATTGTAAGCATGGTAACTTTTTAATAAAAATGTATCTGTTTATCAACCCCAAAAGACTGATTACGTTGTCTCAAAATTTTGCGAATAAATCGTATCTAAAATGTGCAAAATATGGTCAGTCTATACTTGTAATTTGTCGTTGCATTCATATTTTTTAGATTTGTTTATACAGGCTGACTCAAAAAAATTAATACATGAGTCAATTTACTTTATTGAATAAATCAAGAATTGCAAAACCGAATGCATTGAAATCTTGAAGACGTTTTAAAGTCATTGTAAGCATGGTAAATTGTTAATCAAAATAAATCTGTTTATTCCCTCCAAAAAATTGATGACGTTATCTCAAAATTTTGCCGAATAAATTCTACCCAAAATGTGTAAAATATGATGAGTTTTTACTTGTGATTCCTCATTGTATTAATATTTTTTATTGATCAAATAGAATAATGATATTTAGAACATTTTGTTGATTTTAGCTTACTACTTAATAGTTTTGATCCTCTGTTTTGAGGGGACGAACTCATTCAAATCAACCTAATTTCTACGTGACATTCTTCCGATCTATAAATATAAACACTTTCAAGTTGTTTTTAGAAGAATTACACATGTTAGTTTTTGCACTTACAGAACTACTTACAATTAAATGTTGATTTCTTTAATTTTTTTTTTAAGTTCTATAACAAACGTACATGAAATTATTATCACAGCCTTTAACATTACAGAGAGATGAACAATAATCGGTGCGTTAAGTACATCTTGCTTGAAATTTATAGCGCGATATCCTCCTTTATTTGTCTTTAATAATTTATTCAATTTTTAACGACATGTAGGTGTACGAAAGACCGTAAACAAATAAAATTTGTCAAAAGCACATTTTAACAGTTTGTCTTAGAATTTACGAAAGG